AAGATCAGTTCACTAGTACAACAAGATCATTTCTATTGCTAAGGTCAAGTGAACAGACACTGATCGGTCATCACAATTCCATAGTAATTAAGCTGTAGATTAATAATTATCATCGCTCACTTTATTACCATGCCAACAGCTTTCCAGGTTTTTCAAATTTACGGTTTCAGTGAACGATTCCGTACAGAAAACAACGTCATATAATGAACATTAATCTGTCGAACAAAAGTATATGCAAAGGTGTGTACGATCATTCCAATCTCTTTTCACTTAGCTAAGGTAGACGATTGTACTGAGATCAGTTCATTAGTACAACAAGATAATTTGTATTGGGAAGGTCAAGTGAACAGACACTGATCATTCATCACAATTCCATAGTAATGAAGATGTAAAATCACTTTTTCTAGATTAATAATAATAAAGTGATCATCGATCACTTTATAATTTTGTCAACAGCTTTTAAGGTTTCTCAAATTAAAGGTTTCAGTAAACGATTCCGAACAGAAAACGACGTCATATAATGAAGACTTACATGTCTAACAAGTCATTAATAATAATAATAATAGTAATAATAATAATAATAATAATAATAATAATGGAACATACGAAATGTAATAATAATTTTTCTTATGAGATTTATCACTGCATTGCAAAAATTCGATACAGTGATAAATGTCATTTAGACGTCTGATAAGTGAATGTACAGTTTAACTTAACAGATTGAAATACGATATTCTAAATACATAATGGTTACTTGATACAATTGACCTTATTCACATTAAGTCATATCATTGAAATAGAAATTTATTTCACTAGACATAGGCTTGTTCATTGACACTTCATTCAACCTATATTACACATATGCTTGTCAAAAAGGTTACTTTTTTCACCATTCAGCGATTTACTGTTTGACAGTATAAGAGGAGTAATTATTATCTCTTTGTGACGGAAAATGTACATAGTTTTTCATTGTTCGTCCAGTATGTTTAACAAAGGAAACTGTTGAATTTGGAAATATAATTTCAGTCTTTCTAAGTAATTAACGTTTACAATGTTATTTACTAATGAAAATAAAAAATTCAGATCATTAATTTGAAAGGCTGTGCACTTAAAAAACATTGGCTGTTAACATCACCTGCCAAAAAATATTATGCCCACCTCACAAATACAATTACCGTATTACATGACTGAGTACACTAACATGTCTTTTCGGTGATCATTAATAAGTGATCAACTACAAATAATCTACAGGTCAGCATATTTTATGCTTTGAATGGATTTACAAAAAATCTTGATAACCTAGTGTGAGGATGGTCCACAGGTGAAGTCGAGGAGGCTCTAGGAAGCCCAGGAAGAGCCGCAGACATTCCATCCAATCAGGGCTAGGGGAATGTTCTAGAAATGCCAACGTGGAGCTTCCCTATTGGATGGATTAGTTTGATACCTATGTGCTTATTGGTTGACCTAAATGATAATTTACTTTCAGCCAAAAACTATAAATACACGAGATTTCTGTGCTATATTTTGACATTGTTCGGGGCAATAAACTTCCTGCTTACCAGTCTTTGTCTTCTCTCTTTGCGACGTTGCGGGTTCTATCGTTCAAGTAGACAAGTAGTTCGCGGCATATTAAGAATCAAGGCTCTAGATATAACACCTAGATATTGCGTTCATTTTCGACACCCTTTCCAATGCTAAACTAATCAACTTTTTGGTATTAAGAATAACGGTTTGCAAAATAACTGAATTATAAAGATTATTTGCTTTTTTCTCAGACATTATTACTAATTTCAGACAGCGTAAAAGTTGCTTCATTTACCCATCTTTTACGGTTAGTGTGACTTCGGCATGCCCCATTCACTTTCTCTTTATCATGATTTATTCATATACTTACACGAATATAACGTTTATTAAATGAGCGAACTATGTGTTCAATTAACTTATGGGAATACTTAAATGAAAATGTGTTCACTAATTTGTGTATTAAACATTTGAGACTACCTTTGAAATTCAATAATCACCATTATCAATTATTAATAACAACTGTAAGTTTTTTCAAAAATTAACTTTCAATGATCCACAGATTATTACTATTCTTGTCACGATAACTGATAACTTTAGTTGCATTTCTACTTCATAAAAAAAGAAGTCATCCCGATATACATTCACTGACAGCAGTATAGCAGGGTAATGAAAAGGATTTGTTTTTGCTTTTTTCGAAGTTAAATTTTTTTACAAAACTCAGATTGAACAATGTGAAAATAGTTTATTATTGTAAATAATAATCGAATGTAAAAATGTCAATTCTTACATCCAATAAAAGCACTTTATTCTAGTTCGATTTGAACGAATCAAATTGCAAAACTGCACCATTTACAACCAATTAAAAAATTATTACAGGTGACAAAATATTTGTTCATTTGCACTTGAGCACACACTTTCAAAAACAAATTCACCAATCACCAATTGCTAAATTTTTTTCATATCCTTTAATTTCCAAAAAAAGGGGGGTAGGGGATTATACGTGCAGTGATTCTAATGTCAACCACCAGTCAGATGTTCATGAACTGCCAACATAGGTTGACACTAATATCACGGCACGTATTATCCCCCACCACCCTTTTTTCGAAAATAAAGGATGTGGAAAAAATTTAGCTATTGGTAATTGGTGAACTCCTTTTTGAATGTGTGTGCCCAACTGAAAGTGTACAAACATTTTGTCACCTGTAATAATTTTTTAATTAATTATCAGAAGGGGTTTTGTGGAGATTTAGTAAGTTTCATGGTTGAAAGTATGAGTCAATTGAAGCTAGACCACCATGGAAAACCTATAAACACTGGACGGCCGTTTCGTCCTATTATGGGACTCCTCAGCAGTGCGCGCCCACGAACCCGTTCTCGCGGGCGAGATTCGAACCCAGGACCTACCAGTCTCGAGCCAGAGCCCTTAGCAAAACCCCTTCTGATAATTAATATGATCATATGCTCACTAGTGACTTTGGGAAGTACATCCAGGAGTTCTAGTGAGAAGCAGTGACCAGTGGAGTTCAACCACGTCTGTTGTGAGATAACAACTCACTGAAGGCAATTGGTGAAGTGTCGCTCATAATTCGTGGATCAGTTGAAGTTAGACATTAACACCGTTGGATGCCAGCTCAGTGGTCTATCGGTTAAGGGCTCTGGCTCGTAACTGGTAGGTCCTGGGTTCGAATCTCGCTCGCGATAGCGGGTTCGTGGATGCGCACTGCTGAGGAGTCCCATAGTAGGACGAAACGGCCGTCCAGTGCTTCCAGGTTTTCGATGGTGGTCTAGCTTCAATTGACTCATGCTTTCAATTTTTTAATTGGCTGCAAATGGTGCAGCTTTGTAATCTGATTCGTTCAAATCGAAATAGAATAAAGTGCTTTTATTGGATGTGAGAATTGACGTTTTGACATCTATTCCATCTGAGTTTTAAAAAAAAAATTAACTTCGAAAAAAATGACCAAATCCATTTCATTACCCTTCTATACTCCTGTCAGTGAATGTAAATAGCGATAAGTGTCTTTTTGTAATCAAGTAGAAATGCAACTAAAGTTATCAGTTATCGTGACAAGAGCAATAATAATGTGTAGATCATTGAAAGATAATTTGTGAAAAAACTGACAGCTGTTTTTAATAGTCGATAATGGTGATTATTTATTTTAAAAAACTGACGTGACTTTAACGTTATTCTGTCTCTGACCATAGATTTTCGTAACATGTACAGTGAATGGTCATGAATTTTTAATAAACGCGCCCGAGTAGGTTATGAGATTGATGGACATAATGATTTATTGGAAAAAACAGAAAACTTGTTGAAATATCTAGATTGAAGGAACAGGTAGCTCAGATATTCAAGCAAGCCACCGAAAGTGATGTGGATAATATGGTACAAGATATGTTTACCGGAATCATAACATGATTTTTGTATCTATCATGTAGTTGTGTTGCTCAAGGAAATATCTCTTGAAGTCAGTCACTAGTGAGCATATGATTAATTAATTATTTACGTAAGTTCATATAGAAGCTAACATGATCAAGTAAATAAATACGTCATTGTAGGATGTTTGTGCAGAATTCTAAATACTGTGTTTCCCTGAACATTAGAATTGAAAGTTGGCTTACCCACAACTTTACAGACAAGAAAAGGTTTCTTACATGCGATAAATATCTGTTAACAAGTTATAACGACTAGAATATTATGTAATATATTGACATTTACTTACGTCATATGAAAAAAATATAAGATCAAATGTCAGTCACTTCATGCTTTTAGAGAAGTCATTCTGCTGCTCAGTATTTTGCCCAAATAATCAGAACTCGAACTAAACCGAAATAATTTGAGGAGAAAGTAGACAAGATTAGTAAGTTAGAAAAATATGCATTTATCTTGAAGTATGACAAGTGAATTTCGTAGCAGGACAGATTTGTAGAAAGTGTTTTTCCTGAATAAGCAAAAATATTCAAATGAAGGAATCTGATGGATTTTATGTATTTATTCTAGAACTCCTTACCATCGTACATGATAGACTTCACAAATGACGCTGGATGATAAGAAAAGCATACGGAAAATTTGAAATGTGAATTGTTGAATTCTGACTAAGCAGTGTGAAGTTATCTTACCTATCATAAAAGTTGTACAATATACGATTAGGCCTTGCGAAGGTCTTGGGTCCTCATAACTGAGTAGTCATTAACTAGAACGAAATAGATGTTTTTCTGTGAGTATTCAGTTGAATTCAGTATTTCGTAAAAAAGTACATAAAATATTTTCTCGCCAATACCTGAATACATTCTATCAAATATTGATGGTGTAATCTGACCAATCACTTAAATGATCGACATTAAAGTGCCGAATTAATTTCATCATTCTAGGCTTTTAAAAATTGTTGGTCTAATAAAAAGCATGTCAAGTAATACATAATCACATTTACTTCGAATTATTATCCAATAACCAGTAATATTTGTTGTCTTTACAGGCCAATGGATCAACATTGGTATACTATGGCGTGGAGATGTCGGGTTAACTCTGTTACTTGATGGTGTCAATTATGGAAGTGTACTTTCAAACGGTCAGAAGGTTTATAAACCACGTGAATCACCACCATATCTTGTACTTGGACGTTATGATACAGATCATCAAACAACATGGTTATCACCTTCTGATGCAGATTATGCAGCTAAACAAAACAGTGGAAATGAACCTCAATGGGAAATGAGTCACTATGCATTAGGTGATATAGCCTATTTCAATAGACTGTTAAGTCATAAAGAATATAATGAACAGATTGGTTTATTAGGTAATCCCTATCTACGTAATATACTTGGTCATGTTTGGTTTGGTAGAAATATGATTAGTCCACCTATATCTCAAATTATGGAAGCTGTCTCGAGAAATATTTCAAAACCTGGACCGATTCTTAATGGTACGGTATCAAGTTCAGTACTACTTTTACGAAATCCTGAAGCAATACAACTATCAGTGGGTGGTTCTCTACGTCTAGGCACATTTAAAGTAAACGAATGACCATTTGATTTACAAAACTGTCAAAAGGTATATAAATGATCTGTTCTTCATTCACTTATGTTATTATTTAAATTGCTTTGTTGTTTTTATGTTAATAAGAATGAGTTTTTAAATGAATAAAGTAAGCTTGTGTTATGAGTACACTTTACAAATAAAGCTAAAAGAACTTTAAATACGAGTCTTTTGTTTCTATATACAATACCTACATCATTTTAGTCTACCGAGTCAAATCTTGATGCTCGAAATAAATAAATGAATCATGCATACAGAGGATAACTCGGTACTACACTTTACCAATAGATCAGACTTAAATAGCTTTATGGTATTTATAAACAAACTATAGCAAGTCTCAACACTGTATATTAAAAATAGTCAGTCTTATCTTGACAGAATTATCTTAAAACAAAATACTTTATTATTGATTAGGAAATCTAATTTTTCAAAGACATCGCTTGTAAACATTTAACTTACATTATGACTCGGTGGCTAAGTGGATAATGCAAAGGTGTTTGAAGGGAACGGTACTGGGCTCGAGTCTCAGAGTGAACATCAACTCTGAGATGCAGGTACATTCAGCTGACGAGTCCCAAATAAAACGAAACGCGCGTCCTGGATTCTACTGCTAGCCACTATCCATCTTTACTCATAAAGCTTGTGACTACAGGCAATATCTAGGCAGTCCGCACAGGATGCAAATATGCCAACAAGAGACTGATCAATTGCAGTCCTAAATAACATTAGGAAGATACAAGTAAACAACACCATGTGAATTTAACATACAAGTTTCACAAAAGTGTCTATCTTACCTTACAAAACACTTAATTTAAACTTTTCAACTCAAGTAACATGCAATCAAAGTAATTAAGTGAGTTTCTTTAAAAGCATGCCAATTTAATAATCATTCAAGTTAATTATTTAATATCACGTTACTCTTAACAGCATATTAATTTATTAGTAAATTTAAATGTTTGTAAGATCATAATACTTTTTAGAAACCTTTTGTTGAAACGGATAGAATCACTCTAGTTGATTTTCAAGAAAATTGTCCATAAGAATTTCAATTTTCTTTGTATACTTTAAGTTATCCCGTCAATATTGATAAATTTATAATATTCAAATTAATTAATAGTTAGGTATTAGAATTAACATTACATTTCATAACATAGTTTATGAACTCATAGACAGTAAGTCATGTGTTGAGCGAAACGAACATCTTTCGGTTGATAATTGTTTGTAAAAGTTAAACATTAACATCGTTGGATAAGGGACGACTCAGTCGTCTAGAGGTTAAGCGTTCGCAAACAAGACCAGAGGTCTTGGGTTTGAATCCCACTAGCGGGATAGTAGATTCACACTGCTGAGGAGTGCCATAAAGGACCGAAACAGTCTCTCAATGCTTTCAGGTTTTCCATGGTCTTCTAGTTTTTATTAACTCACAAATTCAACTATTATATTACTATTATATCCGCAAAACCCCTTTTCTGTTTGTAAAATGTTTAACTTATTCACCAAATAATTCGTCAATCATATTAGATTTGTTCATTTATGTTTAGTTTTTACTTAATGCAGTGAATGGTCATTAAATACCTTACAGCCAATTGTTTTTATTAACCAATTTATGAATAAACTAAATTGATGAAGTCTGATGATCACTAAGAAATAAATATCGACATATGCCTTAAAAATAGCTCAGTAGTGTTCTTCAAATAACATTAAGTAACTGTGATAACTAAGAGTATTTGAATTGTGGTATAAACTAATAATCCCAGAAACAACGCAAATTAGTAAAGAAGTATTAGATGAACAGGAACGAATGTACTGTATTTGAAATTCAAAATCAAAACAGTCATCAATACAAAAGAATCATTGGTTCATTCAAACACCATAGTAACACCTGTTCTATTCCATTAGACATCAGTTTTATTAAATTGCAGATGATATGAATTAGCTTCATCTTCAACCAATTGATATCAAATAAAATGTAATAATGTATTGAGTCATTTGGAATAGTGTATATATTTCGGTTTGATTGTCAAAGAAAATATAATCCATTTATATATACATTTACATATTTCATAGAGTAACAATAACAAGAAATTTATATATAGCCAAAAATATAATCGGAACAGGCCGTAATATTGTTCTTAACTCTACTTTCGATAATGCAATTAGAAGTCAAAGTTTATCAGAATTATGTCATATATTTGCGCAATATATTTCGAACAATCTGATCACATATATACTTGTTAAGACATTTTTATATGAAAATTAAAAGGTCAACTAGACAGGTTACGGTAAGCCGTGGTGTTGTATAAAAGGGCGTATACTAAGGTTTATTGAAGCCTTAGCCATACGAAAATTCAAACCCCCTTTGTGTATTCAAAAACTGTTTGTTCTTACCTTAAACCTACCCTGGTAATATTAGCTTATTATCCAGAGTGATTAGATGTCAAGTTGTTTTCACACTGTTTTTATTATTATTATCCTTGTCCACTCCTACTCTCCATTTCCAGTCTAGTTAACCTTTTGTTTTTTGATATATAAATGTTCTTAACAAGTATATTACGTGTGATCAGATTGTTCGAAATGTATTGCGCTAATATATCATCACATAGTTGTGATAATCTTCATCTTCTTATTAAATTGTCGAAATTTATCGAAGGGACTAATTATTTTAAAGAATAGTCAATGATTTTCCTTAAATAATATAACCAATTTCTTATATTGAATTAATTCATTTTATTTAATATTATTTAGGGTTTAAGTATTGGTGGTTGGTATCGTTTTGGTGGATATTTAATAAAACCAACTGACTTACAAATTGAACCAATTATATTATTTACTGGATTTGGTGGAAATTATGGTTTAACTATATCATATAATGGTGCATTATTAGGTGGTTGGTTACAATATAATATTATAAAAAATAATATAATTATACAAAATTATTGGTTATGTATTGCTGATAATTTAAAAATTGGTTTAAATCAATATAATATGCAATGGATACATTTTAGTTTCATATGGGGTATCAATAAAATCAATAATAATAATAATAATAATGATAATGTATTACAATTATTAATTAATGGATTAATCATAATAGAATGTAATAAAAATATACCAATTAATAATCCATTATATCAAAAATGGATTAATAAAGCAATTAATAAATCAATAAATTTATTTAATGAAACTAATACAAATAAACAATCATTTTTATTAATTAGTTCAAAAACTTTAGATCCAATACAACAAATTCAATTTTCAATTTCATTATTATCATTACAATCAAAATATTTAACATTAAATAATTTAATGAATTTAATTGGTATTGAATATTATGAAATTATTGATTTATTATATTCAACATTTTATTGGAAAATATCTGGTTTATATAATCAATTAACAACTAATCGTATACAAAGTAGTAATGCATATTATGGACATGATCAATATAATAATCCAAATAGTGCATTATGTACTGAAGGTAATAATTTATCATATATTATATTTAATGGGGATAAAATTAATCACTATGGTGATATGACTAATTTATATGAATCATGTTTATATGATCCATCTATATGTAAACGTTATAGTTTAAGTTTAAGATTTATTATAATGAAATTACCAAATGAATTAAATGGATATTATGAAATTCTACGTACAATACCAATAAATAATGGAATAAAAACAATTGGATTACGTATATATTTATCATTAGATCAAAATGATATCATCATTGAAATACGTAGTCAATATTTAACATATAAATATACAATCAAACTTGATTTAATACAACAACCTGGAAAATGGATTAATATGCAAATATTTTATTATCAAGATCATCCATTAACAATAAGTATTGATGGTAATACAAATTTATCGAATGAAAATGGTACAATTATCAATGAAATTAATAGTAAATTATCAACTGATGAAAGATTAAAACAAAATGTAATCATTGGACGAGGTTTAAAAATGTGTATAAGTTCTATGACATTATATGATATATCAAATGAAAATGATTTTGATTTATTGGTTAATACAGTTAATTCACAAATATGTTATACAAATATGGATATGTTTGAAGAATTAAAAGGGTCAATGAATGATTATAAAAATCGTACAAATTATGCATCTAGATTAGAAAATTTTATTAGACCATTATTATTTTCATCAATATCATGTATTCAGAATCCAGATATATGTAGTAATAATGGTATGACTATGTCAATGTGGATAATAATTAATGGATTTGTGAATGAAGAAGGAAAAAATCTTGATGTGAAGAATAATGAAAACGTTAGTTAATTGTTTAATTATATATTTTATAGCAATAAAATGTACATGTATGTTCATCTCTAGAATAAAGCCTGGAGAGTTGTTGTTGTTGAGCATTTTGGTAAGATCACAAGAAATGAACTGGACGTTTGTATTACCTTTTACTGAATATTTTGAGCAGCTTAAATTTCGCCTTCTCGATTATAATTAACTTATAACTGACAAACTGTAATATGAATAAAAGAATTTTCTCCTATTCTATGAGACATACTTCTATAGATAAATAAGCTATTCGTTTAAATTATTCCTCCAAAAATACTTATTTTCTGATCATCGCACCTTCGGTATCTGCCTTATCTATTTTTAACTCTGTCAATAAGTGAATTGAATATAATCGGTTTATAATTTTCTTTCATTTTGTGTCTCGTGTTGTTTTCAACGAGGAAAACTTTCCTTTCGTCTTTTAATCTGATACCTACCTAGAAAGCACTCAAGCTCTACCGTATGCAGGAATTCTCACTCTAATAAAACATTACATCATAAGTTATCAGTTAACATTCACTTTGACATAATTTAGTTTAGAGTACCTGCTAAGTGAATTTTGTGATTATGATGATCAAATATAGTGATTGGAGTACGTTACGTTGGTTGAAGACTTAATCATTTAATGTCTTAACATGTTAGATAAGTCAACTAAAGAGTAAGCAAATCAAAAGTTTCACATTTGATTGTACTTGCGTACTGTTGGTTATATCGTGTAGGGTGAGAATAAAGAGGGATTGTATCTCAACACTATTTTCTGTCATGCTTTCAAATACACTGTGATGCTAAATAATATTTATTAAACACGCTACATCAATAGTCATTTAATCAAATTATTTTTGAAAATATTCTTTCTCTTTTAGGTAAATCAATGTTCTGTGATAATTTAGGTAATTTGAATGTTATTCAATAAATGATCCACATACAACAATCTTTAATTTCAAAAGAACTTGTCTAGTAACACAATTTTTCTAAGACAGTTCGGTGCTAACAATAAACAGGATGATGTAAACCTGTTTCAAAAAGCATCAAGACTTGTAGACTTATGGATCAGTTGCAAATTAGACTTAATTTAATAAACATGTATCTTTAATTCATTTAAATATTCTTATTTTCACTTAACATATTACTAATTACTGAGTGATTTTTATTTTCAGTTTTTTAACAAATGATTGTACACATTAAAACTTCCAATCAGTTTTCTTTTTCAATGAGCGATAAATACATTGCAACGTTACTCGATAAGGATGCATAGATTGTCGTTAAATAATCATCACAGATTAGAACATATACTAATTCCAAGTATTTTAACCAATTGTAGTGTTGTGAACAAGAACCCAAGTGGGGACAATTCAACATATTTGAATTTAAAATTACAGAATTTCTAACTAAAATCTGAGAACCATACAGTAAATAGTATATTTGAAAAATGCCACTCAATTGTCTCAGGCTTGATTGTTTCTTCGTTTCCACACCAATCATTCTTTGTTCTCTCTCTCTTCTTTTCTCCGCGATCTTCTTAACCTTCTGCCTCGAGGCCTTTCACTTCCGGTTGGTTATACATACTACTTATATCTGTCGACATCAGTACCACACACATCACAATAGATGTTGCTCTTTTTCAATAGCTTATTGGTTGAGATAGTCAAGTTAGTTTGCACGATGAAACAATTAGTCCAAAATAATCAATTAGAATTTTGTCAATGATTTTAATTTTATTAATGATAATATCTCTTTTCGAAAAACAAATGATGAAGATTTTACTGTTTTTTTTTCTGTGGGGTGGGTGTTGTGATTTTGTGTATATGGATTGGATGAAATTTTAGCTGACTGCAATAATTTTGTCTACTGGTCCACTAGATAATTCTGGAATTTTAATTCAAGTTAGCGGTCAATTAGAAAATGAGAAATTAAAACTCATTAAAAACTAGTGTTTATACTCAAAATTATTTATGGCAAGTTGATTCAAACAATGCATTGGAATTAGGTCAGTGGACAAATATAGCATTTAGTTGGTTTAGTCAACCCGAAGAGAACAGTGGTTCACTTGAGATTTACATAAATGGTTTACGTAAACAATCTTCAACAATACCAACTTCTATGTTGAATATGAATACAGAGTTAAATGATACTTCCAAAGTATTCATTGGTTCTGCATATTACAACGTGAACATAAATACAACTAGTTCAGTCAATAAAGTATTTGCCACCGGAGGTATTGCAAATTTAGGTAAGTTTCTCTTCTAATATAAATAAGTGATTACTGAAAAATGATGAATACATGATAAGTTATTTATTTTGTTGATTTTTTACGTGTAGATGATATCACATGTCTCGAACCAAGATAATATCAAGTTTTCAAAAACTTTTCCGTTTATGAAGGTACTATTAATTTGTAATTTGCATAACTATGTACAGAACAATGATTAATAAAATTGAAGTAATATAGGATATTTTATGGAATACCATTTAAATGTTCTACTATGATAGTCTGAATGTAATTATAAATCTTGCTTGACTGCCAAAGTTCTCAACATATATATTCTTGAAATAGTAAAACTTCTGAATTTTAAAACCAGCATTATTACTAACATAGGGAATGTATCAAGGTTGAATTGAGTAGTTTAGATCGAAAAGTTCTAGAAACCAGGAAGCATTGGTCAGCTGTTCCATCCTCCATAGGAGTCTATACATGACATCATCAAGGTCGAACATGGTGGTAAAGGCCTCGTGGAGAATGCTTAACCTTAATATTTCTAACAGATCCCATACTAGGACGAAGTATCTGTCAAGTGCCTCCTAATTTTCTCTGATTTTCTAAGGTCACTTTGTGGTGTAATCTATAAAACTCCATATTATTACTGATGATATATTGGAAAAAAGAAATATTACAGAAAACCGATTCTTAGCAGGAAATTCTTAATGTCAGTAGATGTTTTATAAAAGTTTCTAGTCATTTTCCAGTTGAGATTTCTCATTACAATGTTGTTCAATGAGCTTTAATTGTTATAATAAATCAATAGGTTAAAAGTGCTTACTACTTTTCTTATCCTAGTATTTGACATGACTTTAACTAATAGCCACAGGAAAAATCTAAACAAATAACAAAATTGTAAGCAAAGATGGATAGTGGCTAGTAGTGGAATTCAGGACGAGCGTTTTGTCCCATTTGGGACTCGTCAGCTGAATGTGCCTGCACCTCACAGTTGATGTTCACTCTGAGACTCGAACCCAGTACCTTTCGCTTCAAACGCCATCGCATTATCCACTTAGCTACTGAGTCCTGATAGCCACTTGCTTGTGCAATTAGAGACTGACCAGTTGCAGTCCTAAACATTAATGGGAAGATTCAAGCAAACAATACTAATTGAAATAACAAAATGTTAAGATGAAATTAAATTTGAACGAAACCAACTTTAACCATTATAGGCAGAATATTCAAAGTCTGCTTTAAGTATAATTTATAAATTCATAGATAACAAATGATTCGGAAGAATTTATAACGAAAATGTGAGTAGTTTTGGACATGTTAATTTGAATAAAAGATATTGATTATTAGTTGAGTTTCATATGTACTATTTGAATAATTCAAATGGCTACGTTTTTTTTATTTTCTTTGATGATAAACAATTATTAATGCTACTATTTATTATTATTACTACCCTATGTTACATAATGTACACTAATAAGACTACTTTAAAAATTTCTGTAAGAGCTTACTTGATGACTTTCTGACTTCGACTACTCACAAAATGTCATCCATTGAAAAAAACTTAAACACCGTCGTAAACATTTAAAGTCTTTACTAAGCAAGATAAAAATAAATACTGTTTATGATTGAGATCATGAATCGATCGATATAAGACGACCATTAGAAACGTGGAAGCACTGGACGACTGTTTCGTCTTAGTATGGGACTCCTCAGCAGTGTTCATCCACGATCCCACTGGCGGGCTTAACCTCTAGACCACTGAGTCGTCCGGCATCCAATAGTGTTAATGTCTGACCTCAACTAATTCTCAAAATTGCGCCAGTGGAGCTAATGCATATCAGGCAGAGACAGCTATTTACCTCAGTACCATGGAAGATGGTCGCGCAATTTCGTGGATGCGCACTGCTGAGGAGTCCCACACTGAGACGAAACAGCAGTCTAGTGCTTCCAGGTCTTCAATAGTGATCCACCATCAGTCGATTCATGAGCTGAATCAAAAACTTAATCTCCATAACCTCATACCGATGATTACTGCTTAGTTGATAAACATTATAAAATTCAAACTCTAGAGACAGTACTAGAACGGAATAACTAAAACGTAAACACTTCTCTAAATGTATAGTTTACAATTAAAAATGGCAAGTCTTTTAAACTGCAGTAATATTATAGCACATTAAAAAGTATAATTGATTAATCATAGTTGAAACTTATTAACTGAAAATATTTTATTTTAAACACATTTTCGTAAACGTTTTGTCATATGGTATAACCAATAGACTACTAATCACTTGATTAAATGAAATTTGATTAAATACTCATAGTCAATCTTTTTTTCAGCGTATTGGGAAAGCAAAGATGTTATCAGTTGTTCAAAGCCTAGAAAAACAAAAAAGTTCTTACTCGGAGATTGTGAAAGTGATACTGACGTACCAGAAACAGTTACATGTATTATGATGCAAGGTTGTAGACAAGTCGATGGTTTGGTGTGCATGGATCGAACATTGGTGAGTACTTTTGTTGGTTTTAAGTTTATTCTCTTTTTCGCTACTTAAATTCAAGAAAACTTATTTCACTGAGAGATGCAACTTCAAATTCTACAGTGTGCAGTAGTTTCTTCAAGTATGAAGGCATACCTTGCTAACGAATGTTGACTAGTGAGAAAATTAGATCGAAAAGAGTTTCCTGACGAATTCCTCTACCTATCTTATGCTGAAACTTATGTCTTATCACTAAAATCAAAGGCGATTTTTTTTAAGAATCAACATAATCTGGGGAATCATTAGGAACCAAGATGTAAAAAATAACTACTTTTTCATAGTTTGATAATTCATTGTAGCGTGTGACGGTAACCTCATACGGAAGTGACCGTGTGAATATACGTCTTTTAGGTTGTAAAACACTTCAAGGTTATTTGATTTGAGACCGAACAGACTTATACTTTTAACATAAGTCACTTTGTGATGTAATAGCGTCATCATTCAATGTCAATGATAAGTTGCTGTTCCACTTCCAACATAGCTGACTCCATAGAACTGCGTCTGTGGTCCTATTATATCAAGAACTCTTCTGAATGTATTAGTTTGTTGAAACTTGTCCAGTTACGTTGATTTAGTTATCGGCTATGTAACTACATAGTAAGATCAAAAAAATATATCAAAATGTACGGAAGTATCAGCTATTCTTTGCATCCTAACAGCTGGTCATCCAATATTTTTATTAGTGTTTGAACAGCAACTAAATACTTATCTACCTCTAAACTAATATAGAGAGTAACTTAAACGGCTAAACTATTAACTAAATAGAACGAGAAAATAAGCATATGTTGTACCGTCAGAAATGTCTATATCACATAAGAGTTTACTTTCGGAGAATTTAGATTTATTTAGATTCGCAAGCAAACGAAGCAAGACAAAAATAAATGAGAAAAATGACTAAAATATTTATGAAAAGAACTCACTAGGGTATACTGATCAATAAACATGTTTCTCAACATCTCCAGCCAAGATAATACGTATATAATGATTATACGAGCTATGAAAAACACATTGATGATTTATTTGCTTTTTTGAGTTAAGAATTTCTATTCTATCTAAACAGAATTTGGCTTACATACATGAGAAATTCTCTTCCAGCTTTCGCCAACTTGCGTCATTTATGGTGTAGGCGAGATATTCGTCTAGCAACCAAAGGACAGGTTTACTGTGCAGCAGTTCGTTCCGTCCTACATTATGGCAGTGAAACATGGCCAATAAGAGTAGAGGATATTCGTAGGCTACTAGTTTTCGATCATGTGTTACGTATGCCCAACCACCAACTTACCCGACGAGCGATGTTTTGTGGTATAGGAGTAGGTTGGAAGAAAGCTACGGGTGGCCAGACCAAAACGTGGCACAAATCAATGAAGTCACTGACACGTGGACTGGGCCATGTTGGTAGGTGTAGACTACCTGGTTGGGATCCGCGAGATAATAGCAACCGATGGTTAGAGACTTTGAATGACATGGCTCAAAATTGTTTCCAATGGCGAAGGTGCATCCACTCTTTGTGTTCTCCCAAATTCTAATCTTCTAAACTCTTCATGTTACTATCCTTTTTCTCCTTCCAAATTTATTTCACTGGATTATACTCTTCGAATAACATCTTTAAACCCTAATCTTTCCGATTACTGCTTATACTCTTACTACCTTTACCATTATGGGATTTGAATCGACAAATATATCTCTGTGTTAATGTGGTATGGCAACTTGAAATGATGTACGTATGTACCGAATTCTACGTTGTGACTGACTGACTGAATAGGACACATGATAAACCTAAGGAAAAGATGTGCAATCAATTACAGAAATTTAGATTCCCATCTAAACCGTGGCAGCTTTATTTTTGTACCAACGGAAAATTCATTTGTATCTAATTGCGCACTTATTAAGAATTTCATATATGATGTTTTCACAGGTGATCATGTGGTTCTATCGGCTTTGAATTGAAATATTGGAGTAACTTTTAGTTCGCACGTCAACCCGAAAGCTTCTAATTATCAAACACAGTCGAATTCTACTTGGTCTTTAGATATATTGCGATTATTAATGGTCGGAGTTAAATCTGTCGACAAGTCCGATTTAAATTTTTTAGTAACAAAACTTTATTTTGTATGATGGTTTTCAGATCAGTAACAATTCTTTCTACGAAAGTAGAAGCTCGACCTTTCAAGTTGCGTTGTCCATCTCATCAATTCGTTGTTTAGATTAATCTGTTTTACACTTACGAACAATTGGAGCTACGTAAATACACAAATGTCTAAATATTTGTTCACACCAACGTGTGACACGTTGAAAGCACTACTTAGTTCTTTGCTAAAAGACTATTTAAGACAGTTGCGCGAAAGTCCAAGTGTTTTGTTGTGCAAAGACTTGAATTCATAGGTACAATACTGATCGATAAGCTTAAAACAACTTCTAGATAACAAACGGCTAGGTGTAGTACCAGACTACATTTTTCATATGACAGAATTCGAAAAAAATGGAGCTTTTATTTCATCTTTTTTAATGAAAATAAAAAAATAAACAAACTCAAAAGTTCTAGAAAACCACTTAAATGATTTATTTTTTTTTCTTTTCTTCTGTATTATTTTTTAGCCAAATCTTATTCAAATGGCAAGTCAAGCAAATAAACTTATTTATCCATCAGATTTTATAAAAGTTTTACAAATTAGTGTAGAACTTTTACAAATTTACAAACAACATCAAACTACTACTACTACTAATGATAATAATAATGATATATCATTTGGCTTAAATATTATATCTTCTACAATGAATATAATACATTCATGGTATAAAATAATTGAATCATTTACAAATATTAATGATCAATTAATTATTAATGAAATTATTTTATTAAAACAAAATATTCATTATTTAATTACAAATTTAATTAATTTATTATTATCAACAAAATTTAAATTAATTTGGTTACAATTAATAAATGATCATTATATTAAATATAATAAATTATTATCTGAATTAAATTATATATTTTTATTTATTTCAAAAATAAATAATAATCAATATAATCAATTAAATTCATATTATATAATTAATAAATTAAAATATATAAATGTCATTAGTTATTCATTAGATTTTAATTTAATCAATAATAATAATAATAATAATAATAATAATAGTAATGATAATACTAATAATACTAATACTACTACTACTACTAATAATAATAATAATAATTGTCTAATCGATAATAAGAATCCTATAACATTGAATATATCATATCCAACCAATACAGGTAATGAAATGTATCATTCTCAATTTCAAATTAAAACAAATGATCAACAAAATATACAATTAAATGGTGCTTTAACAATTTTATCTATTTTAAATAATAATAATAACTATACTACTGAAAACTTAAAAATTATTGATATACCATTAGATAAATTTAGTAGTAATGTTACACATTATCAACAGAATTATATTGATAATGAACAGAAAGATTCATATACTACTACTACTACTACTATTACTACTACTTCACAATTAGAGATACCACTTGTATTTCTTATTGCAAGTCCATTATATTCTGTTGAATTTTATACAGAAAATCATTCATATACAACAATTCAAATTAATTATACAATACCATTATTACGTTTAAATAAATATTCTAGTGTTTATTATTATGAAACAACTTGGCGTATGAAATGGATGGCATATAATGCTGAAAAATATAATCAAGGATTATTAGCCAATGAAATACGTTGTGTATATTGGGATGATCAATTAGATACAAATGGTGCATGGAATACAAATGGTTGTCAAATTATTAAATCAACTAAAACACATGTGCAATGTTCATGTAATCATTTAAGTTTATTTGCTGTAGCAATGGAATCAGAAGATGCACCATATAGAAGTGTACCAATATGGAAAGCATGGGGTACAAAGTCAGAATCAGAATGTACCATGTTAATGAATATTATTATTTTTGGAGGGAATGGTCTATCGTTAACATGTTCATTAATATTTATTCTTACTTTGATCATTGTATGGAAGAAGGCTAGTATACCCGATGTTTGTTTAACACGTATGGGTTTATGTCTGTGTCAAATAGGATTTCATGCTACTTTATTAATTGAACCATTAATGAACCAATATCAGATACCATGTCAAGCTATTGGTGTATCATTAAATCTATTTGCTATACTTGTATCAAGTTGGCTTTCAAATGAAGCAATAAGTCTGTTCAAAAGTTTTGTATTAGGTCAATTAAAATTAACTTATTGTTGGACATGGATTACAGGCATTGTTATACCAGTTTCGTTAGTTTTAATACCGGCAGTTGTATCGAAGTTAAACTCACAAGGTGGTGATTTACTATGTTTACCAGCACATGAATCGTTAGAATTTTGGATTATGTTCGGTTCCATATTTGCTTATACAATTATTAATGTAATGGTATGTTTCACGTTAACTTGCAACATAGAAACACCAGCATTTTTATCGCCAAAGATACTTGATAGACTACTGTAAGTTTCCGTTAATCAATATTTATTTTTATGATATATTGATTTATTAGTTGTTAAACTATAATCATTTTTTATTGAAGTGTAGGAGATGGTTTGTATAATTATTATTATATCAGTGAGGAATAATATAATAAATAATCTTTACAGTTTTTTTTCTTTTTACATAACGAAAGTACATTAGTTAAGCCTAGTAAAAGCTTACAGTTCTTTCATAAATTCAGACTGAACTAATTACATCCAGTTTATTTAAAACAGTCGAGTTCTAAGGTAACAACTTAGTATGACGAAACTGTACTATTCAAAATTAGGAAGACCAGGTTAAGAAAATACTTCAGTGGACCAACATGAACCATTATAGTCACATAAAAGGTAGGTATTATTTCAAGAAAAAGTACTCACAGATAAGACAACAAGATGTAATCTAATTAGAATCCTCAATTAAAAGAGTTTTCATAAACACTACAGCTTTGCTTATCATAGACTTAATTAAAATGTTCAAAACGAGATGAAATTCATTAAAAAGTATCGCGACGAATAATGAAGCTTTAACATATAATTTCCATAGAATAAACTACTTAACTGTGAATTCAGGAATCTCTCAACAGCTATTTTGTCATAGCTTCGAGTAATTTTAAAGTGTACATACATACGCAGCTTTATACTGGACTGATCCATTAAACTAATTGATCAATACCTGTAACCTCGGTCAGAAACTTCCTAACCGAATTTTACTATACTATTACATGCTTGCTTTGCAAATAATATGAGGGACTACTTGTTCTGAATATGCTCTCGATGCTATATGAAAATCATACGTGTAAGATAACGCGGATAAGTGAACGAAATCGTTGATCTAATCTTTGTACAGGTAGATATCACTCAGTAGCCCGTCAAAACAATGGTGATAATAAGGGTATAACTGTAAAGTGATCAAACTATGTGAAACTGAAGATATAACACTTATGTTTCTATCTTCAGCAACAAATATATTAATAGTAAAATGCAGTTTTAAAATTTCTTTTTCATGTTACCTCTTACAGTAACTTCGTTTCAGACCTAAAATTCCTAACCTTTAATCCACAAGTCTATAATCTAAACAAGAAATGTTCGTGTATGATATCGTATCAGATAGAATGAATTTTTAAAAATACAATATTCAGTGATCTTGTCTAGGAAAATAATGAACACTTCACAGTCGAACGACTCAGCACAGATGATAGTAGCATCAATGATACATATCACCGATATATCTGTCGTAAGAATATTCTTAGATACATACAAACAATTAATTTTCCATCGCTCATAATTAAATTTTAATTATTTGTTTATAAAACTTTCTATTTACAACTAGCACACGTGTGAAGAAACTGAATTCATTATTATTGTACTATATCATAACTTGGAGTCTACTTTTTGTTGTAATACAATTTGCAATACCGTATGTAGTTTTTGTTGCATTTGCCCTTGTTTCTTTACAGGTGAGTTTAGTAGAAAAGGAAGAAAGATTTGTTCATATTTACAAACATTTTTATTGTGTTCTTGAAGAATTTCGTTAATTAGTAAATTTTATGTTTCAGATAGGATCAACTAGGCAGTATGTTGATGTAACAATTTTATAGCTGTTATATTATTTAATTAGTTCCACTACGGGTATAGAAGTATAAATTTAAAAGTAAGCTCATAAAAGTGTCTCACTAGAGAAGCACAGATATACCTGTGTAATAGTTGACTAGTTTCGTAAAAATGTATCAATCCATTTACACAATTTTTCCACATTTCTACTGAGCAAGTATCACTGACAACAGATAACAATCACGTAATATCGTGAGCTAATTGAATTTAGAAATACAAACCGGTAAACCTCGCCCAACGGGTTGAGTGAATCAATAATACCCAATTCTTGAAGAGTATTTAGTGATAGAGCAGTTGTCCAACTCTCCCTGGCTTTCAGTAGTCGTCTAGCTATGGTCAGTCAGTGAATGAAACTACGAATTCAGCGATCGTAGCGAACATCCTATGCATCAGGAAGTCCTGAAACATTAGGCAACTGTTGTTATACACACTTTATATATCAGTTATCAACTAAACAACGTTAATAATATTCGAATCACCTGTAAATTAATTGACTACACTTTAAATTATCTTTTTGTTTGAATTAAGGGAACATGGAGTTTTGTCATTTATGGTTTAGAAGATAGAGAATTGTTTAAAGCTTGTTTACGAAATACACAGAAACAACGACGAAGTGACAATATTTTAGAAACTAATAAACTATCAACAGATCCTGTCATAAAGAATACGGAAAAAGATGAATTACACATAACTGATCAATCTGGTCATCACTATAACAGTACTGCTATGAGTCAACAACATCAAGACACTAGAAACGATACACAAATTCTTCAAAGAAATAAAAGCAATAAGAAGGATAATGAATAAATGTCAATTCTAATCGACCCTATATATATATATATATATATATATATATATATATATATATATATATATATATATATATATATATATATATATATATATAAGTTATCAATTATTTGAATACGAAGAAAATAATGAAATACTGTAAAGTATCACCGTTTTTTGGATTAAACACTTGTATCACTTTAGTGTTGTTAAAAACTTCATTTCCGTAAATACTGATTTATTCAAAATGGAACTGTTTTTATTACTTATTTTCAGAAGACAACAAACCTATTTAATAAATTGGAATTCATGATTAAATCCAATTTTATTCTCTTAGTTGATTTAGTGAACTAAACTATTGAAATTTTACTACTAACATGAACTACTTCCCGAATAGGACGAAACGCGCGTCCTGGATTCCACTGCTAGCCACTATCAATCTTTGCTTATAAAGCTCGTGACTTCAGGCAATATCGAGACCGTCCACACATAATGCACATATACCAACAAGAGACTGATCAATTGCAGTCCAAAATAATAATAGGAAGATACACGTAAACAACAACAAGTGAACGTTTATTATAGTTTACAAGTATTAAATAGGTATCATTAACGATATTTCTTGGTGTATCCCTCGCTTTTCATTAACATAAATATTTGATAAGATTGATAACATGAAATGTTTCGGTAAATTAAGTGAAACAATAAACAAACAAGAGACTTGTATAAGAGGTGACATATATTCACTGACTCACTGATCAAACTAAATTACGGTGATATGGATTTACGAGTTGTTTTTAATAGGCTCCTTAATTAAGCTGAAGGGATACACAGTCTAGTGAGAAATTTCTAACATTTTGTTAGCCTATTAATCACAAATATTACAAATGAATAATATGTTGCTTTTTAAATGATTATTTGTAGATTGTCAGAACGTCCAATTAAAGTTTGATACACTAACTAAAGATCAACGCCCTTCTAAATAATTAAAAAAGAAATAAACAAACAATAAGTCTTCAGAGTAATTATGTCAACACTAGACATTGGATTTTCAGTGTGAAAATGAAGTCGTATTAATTGATACTGTCATTATGCCTACGAAAATTAAAACATGACTGCATAAATTTACTTTTACAGAAAACAATACAAAAATAAATTTTAATCATAAGTACTGTACTTAGGAAATAGCTCGAAACGGCATTCCCTTTTATGGGTCTATGAATGATGTTACCTAAATGGTATCCTGATATTTGTGAAAAACATAACTCGTTTGAAGAGCAATGATTTAAATATATTATTGTAAGGTCGAGAAATGGTTAAAATCCTCCAAAGTAAATTAACTTATGAGGGCCTAATATCTGAATGCATTTCAAACTTTAGCATTCTTTTAGGACTTTAACAAGTTGTTTAGAAGAAAAACAAGTTCGCCTGATTACTTTTTAGGATTACAGCCAGTCCCGAATAAAGAAGAGTTGAATATGGGGTCAGTATTTCAATCCCAAGACTTGTAAGAACAAAATTCTATCAATATAATCTTTTGTGAACGCACATGTTCCAACAATGAAATGAAAACTCAGCTCTAAATATCAACAACAGGATAATACAAACACTTAAGAGTCATATTAGTTTCTACACATGTTATAATCAGTAAAAATGCTCCATATTTGAATTACTAGCACTCTTCTACATATAAAATGACTCGGTCGTTAGCATAATTTGATTAAATCCACTTCATAAAAAGGCTTGTAGCAACTTATATTTCATTTTTATTCTCGACAATTTGGAGAAAATTAATTTCATAATTAAAATTTTCAGCTGAGTAACTTGGATGTACTATTCAATATATACCAAACGTTATATAACGTACGTATATTGCACTATCCCAAGTCCGGATAGATGGGGAGGGTTAAGGGTGGGGTCAGCAACACAATACCATAGGGCATCTTGTTAAAAAAAGTGCTAACAACAAAAACCAATCTAAACCATATCAACCCCGCCCTAGAAGTTGAAGGGTCTTCATTTACAAGGATTGTGACGACTCATAGTGGAAGCCAAGATCCTTCGGAAATCACATGACCTATAGTCAGTCAGTCAGTCACAACGTAGAACTTCGTACGTACATACATCAGTTCGAGTTGCCATACCACATTGTCACAGAGATGCAGTTGTCGATTCAAATCCCATAGTGGTAGAAGTAGTAGGAGTATAATCAGAAATCCAAAAGATTAGGGTTTGAAGATGTTATTCAAAGAGTATAATCCAGTGAAATAAATTTGGAAAGAGAAAAAGATAAGAAAATGAGGAATTCGGAAGATTAGAATTTGGTAGAACACAAAGAGTGGATGCACCTTCGCCATTGCAAACGATTTTGAGCCATGTCATTCAAAGTCTCTAACCATCAGTTGCTGTCATCTCGCGAATCCCAACCAGGTAGTCTACACCTACCAACATGGCACAGTCCACGTGTCAGTGACTTCATTGATTTGTGCCACGTTTTGGTCTGGCCACCCCTAGCTTTCTTCCAACCTACTCCTACGCCATGAAACATTGCACGTCGGTGGTCGGGCATACGTAACACATGTCCCAGCCATCTCAACTGATGAAGTTTCACTACTTCATCAATCGACTTGCCATCCCTACCTAGTACTCGTTTCCTAACAACTGCATTACTTACTCTGTGGTCCCAGGATATACGAGCAATGCTTCGAAGACACCTATGATCGAACACTAGTAGCCTACGAATATCCTCTACTCTTATTGGCCATGTTTCACTGCCATAAAGTAGGATGGAGCGAACTGCCGCACAGTAAACACGTCCTTTGGTTGCTAGACGGATATCTCGCCTACGCCATAAATGACGCAAGTTGGCGAAAGCTAGACGAGCCTTCTGCATCCGTGCTGAGATTTCATCACATACCAGACCACAAGGGCTGATGAGACTCCCAAGATAAGTGAAGTGGTCTACACGCTCAACTACTTCACTCCCTATCATTAGTTCAGGTGTCGATGCAACCCAATCCTGAAGTAACATTTTGCACTTCGAGGGAGAGAATCGCATCCCGAACATGCCTGCATAGTTGCTTATAGTGGTCAGAAGACTCTGCATGTTGTCAGCGTCTTCACCGAGTAAAACTATGCCGTCGGCATATTCTAAGTCAACAAGTGAATCTCCCGGTAAAAGTTCAACTCCTGGAGGTTTAGCTGATGAAAGTGCTATTTCTAAAAGTATGTCAATGACAAAGTTAAACAAGAATGGGGAGAGTGGACAGCCCTGACGAACGCCACTTGTGGTAATCAGTTCTGATGACAGTTCGCCATAGGCTCTAACTGGACCAGTTGTGTTCGAGTAGAGAGCCTTTATGAGGTTAATGTACTTCTTTGGTACTCCTTTCAGTGACAAACACTGCCATAGAACCTCACGATCAACGGAGTCAAATGCCGCCTTAAGGTCAAGAAATACTATTGTGGGACGTCTGAATTTGTGTCTATGTTCTAGGACCTGACGTAGGGTGAATATCTGGTCTATGAAACCACGTCCAGGTCGAAAACCAGCCTGGTTTTCTCTAGTCTACTCTTCACGAGCTTTGGTTAGGCGATCTAGTATTATTGAAGCTAATATTTTAGACACCATATTAGTCAAACTGATCCCTCTGTGATTGTCACAGGAGGACTTTTGTCCTTTCTTATAGACTGGCACAATCAGTAATTGGGACCAGTCAGATGGAATTACGTCCAGTTCCCAGATTCTACCTAAGACCTCAGTCAATCTCACTGCTAGTACTGGACCACCATCCTTAAAAATCTCAGGGGTCAACCTGTCAGGGCCTGCTGCTCTCCCTCGCTTCAGATTTCCTATAGCTTCTTCAACCTCACAGAGGGTTGGAGGACTTACATCAATTTGCCATTCATGACGACTGGGGATCGTGGGTAACTGAAGTGTGGCTGAAGGCCAGTTGAACTGATCCCGAAAGTGTTCTGTCCATCGATCTAATCTCCTGGATTGAGAATGAATAATATGCCCATCTTTATCTGAGATGGTTTCACTGATATTCGGGTTCCTAATACCGGTTTCTTTAACGAGTCTGAATAGCTGCCTACTGTTACCTATTGCCGCTGCCTTTTCCATCTCTCTTGCTTTCGCTACCCACCACTGTTCACGATCATTGTGTAGGCTTCTTATTAGCCTGCGCTTAAGTTGACTCCGCTCTTCGTTATGTTCAGAGCCAGGTGGGATGAGTTTACGAGCATCTATCAGTGCGGTAGATGCTGCCGAGATCCATTGTTTCTCCCTAACCTTATCGTTTACCTTAATAGCGGATATCACTGCTATTTCCACAGCTTTTCGGATGTCATTCTACGCTGCCTCGGGGTGGACACAACTTACATGGCTGCCTAACTGTTTTTCTAGTTGTTCCTGAAATATATTCTTAGCTTGCCTATCATTAAGTAGAACCCTTAGAGGCTTCCCTGCAGTGTCTTTCCTACGACCAGTAAGACGCAGACAGATACGTGCTCGCACTAGAGCATGATCTGAATCTAAACATGTGCCCCAGAATGAGCGACAGTCTTCTATCGAGCCCCTCCATCGGTGGCTGATAGCGATGTGATCTAATTGGGTCCAACGTTGGGACGAATTCGGGGGTCGCCATGTGAAAAGATGTTTTTCCTTATGCTTAAAGTTAGTATTTGCAAGAAATAGGCGGTTATCTGAGCATAGCTGCAACAGACGGACATGACCTATATCTCTTTTGAAAACCAGAGCAACAACTAATACAAGAACATGGAAGGTTCGAACAACGTTGGAGACCGGGAGGATCATTTAAATAGCTGAATAAAATAGGAGATATAAAACAGTGGCGCTTATGAGCGAACATCAATAGGAAACAAGTAAGAAAGAGAGCCTATGATAGAGTTGGTTGGAGATAACTGGTCGAATAAGAAAATTAACCGACTTATCAAACTTTACAAACTCCATCATCTTTACTAATCACACGACGAATCATGTCAATAAAAAAATCAACAACTTTTATAGAACTAAAAAAATCAATCAAACTAGTAACTGTCATCTATTTATACTTTACATTTCAATTAATCGACAAAAATCCATCCTTAATAATAAATTCGACTCTATTTATTAAAGTACACTAATTTAAATTGACGTCTTTCGACAACTAAAACAAATATGACCGAGTAACATACATTGGAAATTCTTGCATAGTAGATATTTGTTTTTTTTCCTAGTTAATCATTATTAACAATGAAGTATTTACATTACAATAAAAAAAGACAACGAATTGTTTCAAAACAAGAGAATGAATAATGCAGAATATTAGATGACATTATTATCATTAAATAAAATTAAATTTTCTCCACATTGTTATATTTATTCACACTTGTATGAAACAAATACTCGAAGATTTGCATTAGAAGCTTCATTCCATAGACTTTTCAAGCTGGTGATGTATGGTTCTGAGTCTTACTCGTTGCTCTTGGTACAGGAACTTGAAATAATTCACAAAGTTGATTACGAATTGGTCTGACTGCTTCAATATCACCTTCCCTGATGAATTCAGAATACAGTATAAAATTTTTCTTAGTCAAAAAACGACTGTTAAACCAAAGTTATCAATAAAAGTGTTATATCCTAGTGAAGATTAAACTATGGATAACTTCTGGGATCTATTAACGGACTAATATTCTTATTGCATAACTATTTAGTAATTAGGTTGTGTGTATCTATATTCATCTTATAAGCTTCATTTTGACCTATAGATTATTATTATACGACTTACTATTCCTAACTTATATTCAGTTTATTGACTACCGTCTCCCACATTAACAGCCACATTCGGCTTTGATCTTGCACAAATTTTATTTTCTATTTTATGGTATGATGCGGTCTGTTTGGCTGGTATATAAACCAAATGTGCTTGAAATAAATGATACGCATAGCCGAAGATGATATTGGTGTTCTGGACCCAACTGGAAAAGCTAGGCCGACAAAGGACCAATAAGTACGCTAGGCCGCTCATACCGGCCGAACGTCATTGGTTTGGCACATTGCTAGGATTGGATAAGTTGTATTTCGATTGGCAAATAAATCACGTGATAAAAGGCACGGCCTTTAAATTCACAACAAAAAGTAGTGACAGAGACAAACTATTATAGTTGTAAAAAAGTTAGTACGTATGTGTACATGAGCATGAAACAAACTAAGGGAACCATAGGCTAATACAGAAGACATAACGAAAAGTAACTAAATATTTGAGAATTACACAGAGCAATAAGTGGATGGATCTGTACAAATGTAGTTAATGTTATTACAGAAATATTTTAACCAAACATTTGTGAAATCTCACTGATAGCACTTAGAAAATATGAGCTTCACTATAAAACTGGAACTGGATTTGTGATTATATGACTTACTTTTATGTTTCGACATAATATTTCCTAAATTGAGCCAACTTTGTTCAAGGCTGCAAATCGTGATGGATGGTGAATCGTTCAACACACATTACCCATACACCTGAGCCAGTGAAGGTTAAGACAATTATCTAAAAATTAGTCGTCATTGTCTAATTCCATGCATATTAGGTCAAACTTAACGGTTTTTCCGCAGGTAAGAGTATACACGTTGGTTTTAAACAAGACAAATATACAAATATCAACATGAATGTGACCATATCATTTCCACAAGAAAATAATTAATAAAAAAATGTGTATTCAAAGATAAAAACTCACCAGATGGTTTCAGTAAGTATAGATGATACTTGATCTAATACCTCAGATGGACATAACTCATAAACCAGTAAACCTTCATACAATTCTGTTGCGGTTGCTTTACGAATCTGAATTTTTCAACGAAAGGGAGTAAATTCAAGATGAGTATTATTATATAAAATACTGAACAGACAGTGTATGTGTTCGAAAAAATATTATTAACAAAAAGATGAAATCAAATTTTTAAACATCACATTTCTGCTACCAGCTTTAACGTGGTACTTTTGAGATGGTCAGCACAGGGAAAAAAAGAAATACAATTCAGACAAGAAAATTATCTTTCTAACGATAACATCTACTTAGGCTGTACAATAGTATTTAGAGTTAACTTTTACAAATAGTAGTTTACAAAATAGCGTGTTATGTCATTACCATGGTAGAACGAACGATTGAGTACGTTGTTTCTGTACACAGTCATTAGGCTTGAATTTATAAAGCTCTTACTATATGCACATTTTTAGTTTGTATTCATTTACAGCCGATTCTTTCGACTATATAAATGATTCTGAAAAAGGGTTCTGGAAAATGAACTTGATCAAGATTTACAAGATGTTCCATCATTAGAATGTTGATTGACATGTGTAAGCATACGGTAATCCAGGCAAAACATACATTTTTAAAGTAGTTTGCAATGTACAACCTAAACAATCTGTTCCATAAGACCAACTTAACTTATAGATGCATATTAATGTGACCCAGAGGAACAGTTTGTTTCTTATGCAACTCTGAATCAAAAGTTAACTAGAGAAAGCAATGCGAAGTTTAGCCAAATAAATTGTGTTCTCAAAGCTCTTAAAAGTTTGTTTTTAAGAATATCTGCTAAATTTATTCCTTTGGAATAAATATTCATGGAGAGGAACTTCTTTGGTGCTATTGAAAATCTTTCATGTTGCTGTCTTGGCTTCAGATCTTGATCAATGAACCTAGGAGGTTAGATTTTTTTCTGTTAAGTATCTCCCAGCGTTTTCAATTTTGATGTCAATTGCGTTATTCGTACAAGTACATATGGCCTTCTTTGATTGAAAGTAGATCCAGTTCATCCTCCGACTTAACGAAATCAAATATGTCTAACCTCTTATACTACCATAACGATGACGTAACATGTCACTACTTCATTATAAACTACTATTTGTAAACATTGACTATAAACATGACTATACAGCTTGGGTTAACAATATCTTAGAAGAGAAAAGTTTCTTCACCAAACTGTCTTTCATTTTTCGTCATAGTTAGTTGAAAAGAAAATCAATGTTTTCTGTACATTTATACTTGTTTCGATAAGCTTTATATAGACGAAGAATAACAAACAGTACTTTTCATCTGATTATGTCAATAAACACATATGATTAATTGACAAAACATTTAGTTAATTTTAAAAGCAGCAACCATTTAAATAGTGACATGTGAATTCAAAAATAAATTTACAGATACATTACTATTAATTAAACAATAATTCATGTCAAACCTACAACTGGGTAACGAGATCCCAATATGATCATCATTAATGATAGAGATCGTTTTCGAACAGACCCAGTGAATTGTAACATCCCACCAAATCTATATATGTATAGGTAAAAATAAATAAATAAACGTCCTGATATGTAGTATGAGAAATCGAAGAACAGTGTTATTTTATTGTGCGAACCACGACATATAAAACTCCCGAATACTAGAATACAGAGTACATGATATTAGAGCACTGGGGGAGTTATACCGTTGTTGTCGATTTCTGAGTAAGACCACTGGGTCTACAAATTACACGCACACAAAAAACAAACAACTTTATTCAGTGTTGACTGACAAAAACTAATTTTGCAAGCAAATATAACTATATGCAAGAAATATCGACTAAATTCCCTTGATAATTATCTTCAATAATAATAATAATAATAATAATAATAATAATAATAATAATAATAATCTCATATAACTTACAACATTAAAATGTACCGGGTTTTAATAACAAGACAAATACCAAATGCAAAAGTTATACTTCCTCAGTTTAGTGCTGTTTTCAAGTACCTTTTTAATGTCTATTTTAAGCATTTAAACATCCATGACTTACATATCGATAGCAGCTTTAATACGTTGTACATCTTTAGTTAGTTTAGTTTCATTCCATACACTTTCCATTAGTTGTAAAAGAATTGAACTGTAAAGACGGGGTAACAATAAATAAATAAAGAGATATATAAACCGTATTTATCAATACATGCTGCTCATCATAATTCGAAAATGATAGTAATACTACTACTAATAACAATAATAGTAATGTTACTAAGAGGAACGACATATTTGAAATATCCTAATGAGCAGAAATTAGAATTTCTGACGGTTCCTGGCATAGTGTAGACCCCTTCTTCAGAGTTAATAAAAAAACCAGATTCCAAAATGATTGTAACATTGCCATTACAATGTATAGATAATATGTATACATTATAAAGGTACTATTTGACAGTATATTTAGTGAATGAACTCTACATTAAGGAAGTGGTAGAGCCTTGAATATATCAATAGCATGTTATTGTGTTCTTCGAACTATATTCATATACTTACCCTATTTCCGATTCCCTTATACCAATACATTCTAAGAAAATAAACCACTTTCGCTCAAGAAAGTATGCATTTCAGACAACACAATAGTAGAGTTCGTCGAACCTCTCACAGTAATAATGAAGTATATGTTGGGTAATATTTCGAAGAATTTTATAGATTTTTGATATTTTTTCATTACGAAGTGATATTAAGCCAATAAACACCGCGAATCACTGGACGGGTGTCTCTATTTTTTCTGGTCAACGGTGACCATTAGCATTGAATACAAGACCAAAGGTTTTAAAGGCTCTATGTTTTCTCTGAAACTTCAAAGTTCTGTACTCGACACCGCAAAATCTTCGGTAGTCACGAACTATGGGAAGACAGTCGACCAGTAATCTATAGTTATTTGTGGTTCTTCTGAGAAGATTATTTCATTATTAAAATAATTTTCAGTAACGAAGCATTGAATGCACAATAAATCGTACAGGATATGTTTACTAATAAATGAAAGGATGACTAATTAAATATTACAAGAAATATATTGAACAATGATGAACTTACCTGTTTGGATCAATTGTTGAGTTGAAAATCGGATCATTCAGTAATAAGTCCAGAAATTTAAAAAGAGGAACAACAATCCTATGAATAAAATAGTAAATAAAACCATCAGAATATTATTGTGTTGTAAAACTGCTCACAATTCGAAAAAAAAGAAAACATATCAGACAGGCATTTTGAAATTCTATATCAATATACACCAAGTTTAAACAATACTTTAAAGAGAGACTGCTTAGGCAGTCTCAAGAATAGTCAGATTTGATTAGGAAGGCAACGTTCATATATTTATAGTATACACATAAGAAGTTTCTAGATTTTTCTCCAATAATATGCCCGGGCTGATCGGTTTAGAATTACCCAATCAGCGCGCAGCAACACCACCATGCATGAAACACGCATACATACATACATGAAACATCCAATCTATGTCCCACTAACACCTCCCCCTTGAGCAGATTCGTAGGATCTGGTGCTAGGGTCCAACTGCAACCGAGTGACTAGCCTGCGCTTTCGATCTGTCCATCGTCTAGGCAATAAGGAAGTTGTGTCACTCTTTGCTTGCACACAAACTGACTTGTCTGTTCCGGGCGTTTTGATCTCAAAGGTGTCTAGCAGAACATCAAGAGACAATCTATGCTGCGTTTCGTTGTTGGAGATCGAGGTTGATTTCAGTTGGTTAGCATGACGCACCCAGACTTCCGAACCAATGGACACCTCATAAACCACATTCCCTTTCTTTCTCACAATCCGACCAGCTATCCACGTAGGATGTTTACCACGATAGTCCATAGCAAGTACTTTTTGACCCACCGTGAACAATCGTCTTTGTGCCCCATGGTGTCGATTAAACTGCTTCTCCATCGATAAGTTTCGTTGGGGCTCACGAGCTGGCGTCGGACGGATGCTGTCAAAATGTGTACGTATTTTTCTGCCAAGTAACGCTTCCGCTGGAGAGACCCCATTTGTTGTTTGAGGGTTCGGTGTAGAACGGTAAATAAACAGGAACCTCTCTAAGATCTCGTCGGTGGTACCCTCCCCTCTTGATTTTTTTAGAGCATTTTAGAACGTACCAACAAAACGTTCTACCTGACCATTCGATTGCGGATGGAATAGAGGTGTTCGGATGTGCCTGATTCCGTTCTGCTGACAAAATTCTGAAGTCTTTTCTGACTTCGTCTGACGACACTGGAGTGTTTCGAATTGCCGCTGCTGCTACACTCCGTATTTCTGGAACCTTTTTACCTGTCCTTTTTGCATATGAGGTGGTGTCTAATGATGGACACGACACGTTACAAACGCTGTTGATGGGTATATCCATTAATCCAAGCTTTTCTAACATATCTAGACCAAGTAGATCAAGGTTCGGTCGTTCTGTTAGATAACATACCCCTTTACAGTTATTTCCATTGAAGGAAAATTCACATTGTAATTCGTCAACTAGTTTTAGTACGCCTCCACATGCATTCTTAGCCGTTTTTTTCGATGGCTTCATTGGCGGCTTTCCCAGCAAATTATACGTCTCTCTAGACACTAGAGTAATATCGGATGCTGTATCAATTTGAAGACGAGCCGCTATACCATTAATCTGGATCGTAACATACTTTCTCCGAATGTCATAGTCTGTTTGAAAAGCCGCTACCAGAGAAAGAGATTTAGACTCAGCTGATTTCACCACACGTGAAAGACGTTTATACTTCTTCTTGGGCTGGGACGTACGATTCGGTGGACAATGGCCTTCTTTATGTCTACGTCTGTTGCACACCTGACATTTATGCTTTTCAAAATGGACAGAACCGTACACAATGCCAATCGCCGCATAACCAACAGGCATCCGTTGGTTTGTTATGAGTTTTATTCGGCTTCTGACTTTTTAACCTAGTCATAGCATTTACACTACTGCAGGTTAAATTACAATTTACCTGTTCAATTAACTGATTGTCGTATCTGATGTTTTGTAGTCGTTTACACTCATCTGTCAATGTCCTGAGTGTGACGTTTGGGTCTTGATTCAAACGAGTTAGAAGTCTGGTTCTAATTTCAGCATCTTGTGGTGACTGTAGAGCTTTGATGAATATAAGGTATTTAAATTGATCTTCTGTCAACGAGCGTAACTTGAACCGTTCACACTCTCTGTTGACGACGTCTGCTAGAGCACCATATTCATCGGCTTCTCGTTTCACCAAATTCAGACACTGATATCGAATACTAAACAATGAGGAAGATTCGCCGAATATCTCTGACAACTGCGTTACTGTCTCCTCGAAACTGAGCTCTCGAGGTAACTTTGGCAATATATGATCAGCATAACGTGCATGCTCATTGCTTCACAACTTACGCATCAACAACCGAGTCTTCCATGCGTCATCTTGTTGACAGAATTCTATTCTAAATGTATCTTCCCAACGCTTGAACCACGTGAGAAAAGTATTTCCACTTTCGGGATCATATATGAATTCTGGGATGCTGCTAGAAACTGCATCACAAGAAGTACTTGAAACAGCATGTGAACTCCAGTTTTGGATGCTAAACTGCTGCATCAGAGTCTCCAACAATCGCATTTGTGCATCAAGTTGTGCTTGCTGTTGTTGTAGTATTCGGCTGAGCTGGTCATTTGAATGAATTTTCCTTTTTCCTCGTCGCCACTGTTATAATTGTATTTTTGCTATATAAACGACCCAGCTATTTCTATTGCTCAGTATTCTTATACGATGACACTCGACAAGACCCCAAAATCAGAACACGTTGAACAGGAATGAAATTGTATTCAAAATAATAATAGTAAGTGAACAGCAATCACTAGTTTAAATAACGTTCATATATTTATAGTATACACATAAGAAGTTTCTAGATTTTTCTCCAATAATATGCCCGGGCTGATCGGTTTAGAATTACCCAATCAGCGCGCAGCAACACCACCATGCATGAAACACGCATACATACATACATGAAACATCCAATCTATGTCCCACTAACCCCTCCCCCTTGAGCAGATTCGTAGGATCTGGTGCTAGGGTCCAACTGCAACTGAGTGACTAGCCTGCGCTTTCGATCTGTCCATCGTCTAGGCAATAAGGAAGTTGTGTCACTCTTTGCTTGCACACAAACTGACTTGTCTGTTCCGGGCGTTTTGATCTCAAAGGTGTCTAGCAGAACATCAAGAGGCAATCTATGCTGCGTTTCGTTGTTGGAGATCGAGGTTGATTTCAGTTGGTTAGCATGACGCACCCAGACTTCCGAACCAATGGACACCTCATAAACCACATTCCCTTTCTTTCTCACAATCCGACCAGCTATCCACGTAGGATGTTTACCACGATAGTCCATAGCAAGTACTTTTTGACCCACCGTGAACAATCGTCTTTGTGCCCCATGGTGTCGATTAAACTGCTTCTCCATCGATAAGTTTCGTTGGGGCTCACGAGCTGGCGTCGGACGGATGCTGTCAAAATGTGTACGTATTTTTCTGCCAAGTAACGCTTCCGCTGGAGAGACCCCATTTGTTGTTTGAGGGTTCGGTGTAGAACGGTAAATAAACAGGAACCTCTCTAAGATCTCGTCGGTGGTACCCTCCCCTCTTGATTTTTTTAGAGCATTTTAGAACGTACCAACAAAACGTTCTACCTGACCATTCGATTGCGGATGGAATAGAGGTGTTCGGATGTGCCTGATTCCGTTCTGCTGACAAAATTCTGAAGTCTTTTCTGACTTCGTCTGACGACACTGGAGTGTTTCGAATTGCCGCTGCTGCTACACTCCGTATTTCTGGAACCTTTTTACCTGTCCTTTTTGCATATGAGGTGGTGTCTAATGATGGACACGACACGTTACAAACGCTGTTGATGGGTATATCCATTAATCCAAGCTTTTCTAACATATCTAGACCAAGTAGATCAAGGTTCGGTCGTTCTGTTAGATAACATACCCCTTTACAGTTATTTCCATTGAAGGAAAATTCACATTGTAATTCGTCAACTAGTTTTAGTACGCCTCCACATGCATTCTTAGCCGTTTTTTTCGATGGCTTCATTGGCGGCTTTCCCAGCAAATTATACGTCTCTCTAGACACTAGAGTAATATCGGATGCTGTATCAATTTGAAGACGAGCCGCTATACCATTAATCTGGATCGTAACATACTTTCTCCGAATGTCATAGTCTGTTTGAAAAGCCGCTACCAGAGAAAGAGATTTAGACTCAGCTGATTTCACCACACGTGAAAGACGTTTATACTTCTTCTTGGGCTGGGACGTACGATTCGGTGGACAATGGCCTTCTTTATGTCTACGTCTGTTGCACACCTGACATTTATGCTTTTCAAAATGGACAGAACCGTACACAATGCCAATCGCCGCATAACCAACAGGCATCCGTTGGTTTGTTATGAGTTTTATTCGGCTTCTGACTTTTTAACCTAGTCATAGCATTTACACTACTGCAGGTTAAATTACAATTTACCTGTTCAATTAACTGATTGTCGTATCTGATGTTTTGTAGTCGTTTACACTCATCTGTCAATGTCCTGAGTGTGACGTTTGGGTCTTGATTCAAACGAGTTAGAAGTCTGGTTCTAATTTCAGCATCTTGTGGTGACTGTAGAGCTTTGATGAATATAAGGTATTTAAATTGATCTTCTGTCAACGAGCGTAACTTGAACCGTTCACACTCTCTGTTGACGACGTCTGCTAGAGCACCATATTCATCGGCTTCTCGTTTCACCAAATTCAGACACTGATATCGAATACTAAACAATGAGGAAGATTCGCCGAATATCTCTGACAACTGCGTTACTGTCTCCTCGAAACTGAGCTCTCGAGGTAACTTTGGCAATATATGATCAGCATAACGTGCATGCTCATTGCTTCACAACTTACGCATCAACAACCGAGTCTTCCATGCGTCATCTTGTTGACAGAATTCTATTCTAAATGTATCTTCCCAACGCTTGAACCACGTGAGAAAAGTATTTCCACTTTCGGGATCATATATGAATTCTGGGATGCTGCTAGAAACTGCATCACAAGAAGTACTTGAAACAGCATGTGAACTCCAGTTTTGGATGCTAAACTGCTGCATCAGAGTCTCCAACAATCGCATTTGTGCATCAAGTTGTGCTTGCTGTTGTTGTAGTATTCGGCTGAGCTGGTCATTTGAATGAATTTTCCTTTTTCCTCGTCGCCACTGTTATAATTGTATTTTTGCTATATAAACGACCCAGCTATTTCTATTGCTCAGTATTCTTATACGATGACACTCGACAAGACCCCAAAATCAGAACACGTTGAACAGGAATGAAATTGTATTCAAAATAATAATAGTAAGTGAACAGCAATCACTAGTTTAAATAACGTTCATATATTTATAGTATACACATAAGAAGTTTCTAGATTTTTCTCCAATAATATGCCCGGGCTGATCGGTTTAGAATTACCCAATCAGCGCGCAGCAACACCACCATGCATGAAACACGCATACATACATACATGAAACATCCAATCTATGTCCCACTAACACCTCCCCCTTGAGCAGATTCGTAGGATCTGGTGCTAGGGTCCAACTGCAACCGAGTGACTAGCCTGCGCTTTCGATCTGTCCATCGTCTAGGCAATAAGGAAGTTGTGTCACTCTTTGCTTGCACACAAACTGACTTGTCTGTTCCGGGCGTTTTGATCTCAAAGGTGTCTAGCAGAACATCAAGAGGCAATCTATGCTGCGTTTCGTTGTTGGAGATCGAGGTTGATTTCAGTTGGTTAGCATGACGCACCCAGACTTCCGAACCAATGGACACCTCATAAACCACATTCCCTTTCTTTCTCACAATCCGACCAGCTATCCACGTAGGATGTTTACCACGATAGTCCATAGCAAGTACTTTTTGACCCACCGTGAACAATCGTCTTTGTGCCCCATGGTGTCGATTAAACTGCTTCTCCATCGATAAGTTTCGTTGGGGCTCACGAGCTGGCGTCGGACGGATGCTGTCAAAATGTGTACGTATTTTTCTGCCAAGTAACGCTTCCGCTGGAGAGACCCCATTTGTTGTTTGAGGGTTCGGTGTAGAACGGTAAATAAACAGGAACCTCTCTAAGATCTCGTCGGTGGTACCCTCCCCTCTTGATTTTTTTAGAGCATTTTAGAACGTACCAACAAAACGTTCTACCTGACCATTCGATTGCGGATGGAATAGAGGTGTTCGGATGTGCCTGATTCCGTTCTGCTGACAAAATTCTGAAGTCTTTTCTGACTTCGTCTGACGACACTGGAGTGTTTCGAATTGCCGCTGCTGCTACACTCCGTATTTCTGGAACCTTTTTACCTGTCCTTTTTGCATATGAGGTGGTGTCTAATGATGGACACGACACGTTACAAACGCTGTTGATGGGTATATCCATTAATCCAAGCTTTTCTAACATATCTAGACCAAGTAGATCAAGGTTCGGTCGTTCTGTTAGATAACATACCCCTTTACAGTTATTTCCATTGAAGGAAAATTCACATTGTAATTCGTCAACTAGTTTTAGTACGCCTCCACATGCATTCTTAGCCGTTTTTTTCGATGGCTTCATTGGCGGCTTTCCCAGCAAATTATACGTCTCTCTAGACACTAGAGTAATATCGGATGCTGTATCAATTTGAAGACGAGCCGCTATACCATTAATCTGGATCGTAACATACTTTCTCCGAATGTCATAGTCTGTTTGAAAAGCCGCTACCAGAGAAAGAGATTTAGACTCAGCTGATTTCACCACACGTGAAAGACGTTTATACTTCTTCTTGGGCTGGGACGTACGATTCGGTGGACAATGGCCTTCTTTATGTCTACGTCTGTTGCACACCTGACATTTATGCTTTTCAAAATGGACAGAACCGTACATAATGCCAATCGCCGCATAACCAACAGGCATCCGTTGGTTTGTTATGAGTTTTATTCGGCTTCTGACATTTTAACCTAGTCATAGCATTTACACTACTGCAGGTTAAATTACAATTTACCTGTTCAATTAACTGATTGTCGTATCTGATGTTTTGTAGTCGTTTACACTCATCTGTCAATGTCCTGAGTGTGACGTTTGGGTCTTGATTCAAACGAGTTAGAAGTCTGGTTCTAATTTCAGCATCTTGTGGTGACTGTAGAGCTTTGATGAATATAAGGCATTTAAATTGATCTTCTGTCAACGAGCGTAACTTGAACCGTTCACACTCTCTGTTGACGACGTCTGCTAGAGCACCATATTCATCGGCTTCTCGTTTCACCAAATTCAGACACTGATATCGAATACTAAACAATGAGGAAGATTCGCCGAATATCTCTGACAACTGCGTTACTGTCTCCTCGAAACTGAGCTCTCGAGGTAACTTTGGCAATATATGATCAGCATAACGTGCATGCTCATTGCTTCACAACTTACGCATCAACAACCGAGTCTTCCATGCGTCATCTTGTTGACAGAATTCTATTCTAAATGTATCTTCCCAACGCTTGAACCACGTGAGAAAAGTATTTCCACTTTCGGGATCATATATGAATTCTGGGATGCTGCTAGAAACTGCATCACAAGAAGTACTTGAAACAGCATGTGAACTCCAGTTTTGGATGCTAAACTGCTGCATCAGAGTCTCCAACAATCGCATTTGTGCATCAAGTTGTGCTTGCTGTTGTTGTAGTATTCGGCTGAGCTGGTCATTTGAATGAATTTTCCTTTTTCCTCGTCGCCACTGTTATAATTGTATTTTTGCTATATAAACGACCCAGCTATTTCTATTGCTCAGTATTCTTATACGATGACACTCGACAAGACCCCAAAATCAGAACACGTTGAACAGGAATGAAATTGTATTCAAAATAATAATAGTAAGTGAACAGCAATCACTAGTTTAAATAACGTTCATATATTTATAGTATACACATAAGAAGTTTCTAGATTTTTCTCCAATAATATGCCCGGGCTGATCGGTTTAGAATTACCCAATCAGCGCGCAGCAACACCACCATGCATGAAACACGCATACATACATACATGAAACATCCAATCTATGTCCCACTAACACAACGAAAACAAATTGTGATTTAGTAGCGTCTTCTCGATCGTCTTGAACAGAAAACTGATTATTATTATTACTTCGCACCTATCAATAAGCATGACAATTTGATTAATTTATTCGACGTAAATGATGAAGCTTAACAGGACTTTGAATCTTTGATGTTTGTACTGTCCGATTTTCTTTACACATTTTACTTGTTAACTTACAAACAAGAAAATTCAAACTTTAGGTTAAGGTACACATAACACGTGCCTGCATAAATTAATATTAGTAACTGTGATGACCAGGTGCAGATTTGTGTACTTAATTCTGAGCTAAAATTTACGTATTAGGGTTTTGTGAAACTAATTGATTGCCCAAACCGAAGTAGGTGAGCTAGGACTTGAAACTACGATCTAGTGACCAAAATTCAATCCTTTGAATTACCAAGCTACTAGCGAACATATTCACGGACAGACCAGTGGAATTGTGGCTTAGTGCTTTTAAAATGATTTTCAACAAATGGTCAGCTGATGTCAATCCAACTTCGCCTTCCTAGATTTGGTGGGTATAAGCTTTATTAAGTGGGATGTACGTATATTAACTTCAGGTTTTCTTCATAAGATAAAAGCAATATATAATTTAAATTAATTCGTCCATATCATACATACACTAATTACCTGAGCTCCAAATGGCTCAAATGTTCGTGTTGTATTGATATTATCGCTGTTTTTTGACAAAAGTAAGTAGGAAATAATCCACAGACCACAACGTTGATAGTAATCATACACGTTAATTCTGCAATATGACATAACGACACCAAAGCCTAACGAAATACTTTCAACACTACTTCATGTCTTTATTAATAAAAACAGTACGATTAACTGATTCAAAAATAAAAATTGTGGAACTGACCTGTCTGCCCACGTTCTCTTGGAATGCAGCTGACGCTGCTCGACGTACACTAACCTCTCGATCGAATAGGCTAACTAAGACTAGAGAGCTTGCAATAGGAACAACATAATCCAGGAAATCCTTAGGATGATATGCTCTTGCGAATGCCCAACAAACATAACAGCCAGCATCTCGAACATTTGATCCATAATTATGATCACCAGACCGCTCATCATAAAATAGAGCTCGTAAAACGACTGGAATCACCTAGAAATGAAAAGCCTGCTATTTAATCAATATATAATCAAGGGATAGTTAAATTAGTTAAGATCAAGTTCGCAAATAATAAGTCTATTTTAATTCAATATATGAATAGAATACTGGATCTACATTGAATTTTTAGACGTAGATCATTTCAGTAGGTAGATTTATTGGTATTCTCAAAAATGCAATAATACTTCCAAGAACTTTCAAGACAGTACAGATAAGAAGCTAAAATTTTATGTTCTCTACTCCAGATTTTGATTCATGATTCTACGTTACTGAATAGTTTATTAAGTTCTCCGACTAATCAACAGAAACCACTTAAACACTTTCATTGTAATTCTAAGGTACTTGAAAATGTGAACAAACTGATAGTTTTTGTAAACTATTAATGTTTCAGTCATAGGTTGTGTTGCCTGGCTGTGAAATATAAGGTTTCAGGGTAAGGGTTATATTTGCTGTCGATTCGCACACTAACAGTAAAAATATGTTCCTATCATTAAATTAATCGCTGTCAAAACAAAAGATTTACTTCTGGTAATTTAGATGGTAAAAGAAGGTTGCGCCGGCCAAGTTCAGCCAAAGCAAGACAAGCTCCATGCCATGCAGTATATGGTTCAAGTTTTGTACACAATGATAGTACAGCCGAGAGAACATCATTTACCATTGAACTGGAAAGACGAGAACAAATACGTCCGATCCTAAGAAAAAAAGCACATCGATTGTACACAACTTATGGAAGGCTACTCTGTAAATATAATTTACTGGGATGAAACAAAAGTCAGATATCGTTATTTTAGCATTTAATATAAAAATAGATAGTGTCTATAAGTGACGAACATTTAGTGACATGATAAAACATTTAATCTTACTTGAAAAACAATGCGACACTGACATCTACCTAAAATATAGTTTACCATAGTTTATGAAACTAGGTTTGACAATTAATCATCATTATACTAGAATACTTAGTTAAACTTAATGGCTCTGTGGTTAAGGTATTGCATCTTTAACTATTAAGCTCCAGATTTAAACCAAGTTCCACCTATCTTAGTCTAAGCAGCTGAGTAACACCATAAGACCGTGCATGTCGTACGTGATATCACGCTTACATGAACTAGGATGTACTCGAGAACTGTATTCATTCTCAGAGTTCAGGAACATTGGGAAGAGTTTAAGGATAGAGTACTTCTAAATGTCTTATCATGTACATATATGATGGTTTCTGATCACTGACTTATCTTTTTTTCTCTTACACTCTCTTTATTTCGTTTACCACCAGCTTGCAATAAATTGGTTGTGGCAAGTCTGTTATACATACAGAAACTAAAGATTTATAATATTCTGGAAAGTATACTCTTGCATATACCACCAGTAGTAGATGATGTATTTACTCTATAACAATACAAGTGCTGAAAAATTGAGTGAAACATTTTATTTTAAACTACTAAGTTAAAAGTAAACAGGAGGACGAACTCATACAAATATACTGTAAAAAATGTTTCCTACCCTTTGGCAGCAGACCAACGAACCCCAGTAAATTGACTGCGCAAAGCGCTTATCAGTTTGTCGATGACTTCTGCAACTTCGTCTGTGTTGGGAAATTCATGGTTCATAGTTAATGAACAATCCCCAGAAATATCACCTGAGATATTATTTTGAAAACTTGTGTATGGCGAGTGATCAGTAACTTTTGCAGAGACTGAAGAATTTTTGTCATGATTCATCAGAAGAGATTCCAAGTTTTCTTGCAGTGATCGAGATCCTCGTTGGTACTGCCATGTTGTATTTATTGGTGGACAAAATAACAAACCAATTCGTTGTAAAACTTTTGTTTCAAGACGGCATAAAAGAATCCCCTTGGAAGAATCTCCGGGCAAGTGAAGCACTGCACGTAAAAGATCACTCGCATAAGGTAACAATTCAGTGCGGCTTCCGAGTTTACATATATTGGCTATACTTCTGAGGGTGCCGCATACCTGCATTTGGTCTTGTACGTTGATAACTAGGGTTAATATTTTTGAAAACTAGTTCAGTAAACGACATTTAAAGATCGAATATAGTTGACAAAAAGCTAAGACAAAAGTAGATAAATAGAATATATTTTAAATACTAAATTCGATTATTAAATGAAATCACTAATTGTATGGATCAGGAAAACACGTAAACAAATATATTGTGAGCCGAATATACATATATATATATATATATATATATATGCCGCCAAAAGCCCCTGGTACGGCCGAGAGTGGAGAGAGTCCACTCTCCCTCGAAAAATGCTCTCACATGGCCTTGCGTATATAGCCTCTGCAAGGGAAATCCTACTAACTGCCTTCTCGTGGAACGACTGTTGTTTACGAAATTGAGAGGACGAAAAGCGAATGTCCGGCGCTATAACCGAGTTGGTGGATATGAAGCATCCACCTAGGGGAGTTGGAAAACCCTGATTCCAAACCAGTGGTGCACATGGGCTCCATTATCCTGAAGGAACAAATGGCGTATGAATCAATCGTTGGTTACCGGCTACCATGGGAGTGCATCTCCTCACGATGCTCCACTGTTTTGTGGATCAGATCTTTAAGTCAAAGGCTCCGGGTGTGGGCATACATATCATTCTCAGACTGCGAACCTTGACTAAATTCGATAACTAGGTCACAAATACGTAGAATATTTAGTAAGCCATATCGATTAACCCTCTTATAGAAAGTGAAAAACTTTCACTAAATATTTCAATAATAACGTCCAATTTTACTTGGCACGTTAAGTAATCTTGACAAGATATATATTGGTACATACATGAGATCTGTATCTCTAAAGTGAAACCAGAAAGTTATTAAATCTATGATAAGCCATACCTATCACAAACTTTAATAATATCTTACGCTAATAGTTAATATATATTTCTAATTACAGTATTTGAGAAAGGTGAGTTAATAAAATCGTTTGTTTAACCAGTCAGTTACCCCGAAATAAATAAAGAGGAACAATCCATCTTTAGTAAAACGAAAGAGAGATGGTACAACACAGTGGCTAGAGACGTCATCAGATATGGCTCAGAATAAAAGCCAGTGGCGATCCTGCTGCAACCTTCTTTTACTTTTTACATAAAGAATGGTTCTAACTTTCTTAACTGAGAGAGTCTTCTGGTTGTACATTTCAGTCCGCCTTATCTTTTCATCCCTTCTCTTCCTACTTTCATTATTTTGTGTGGCGCATATGTGCCTGGTGCCCTTTTGTACCAATATATGTGTTTAAATAAATAAATAATATAGTAAAACGAAAGAATAGCCAGGGTGCCACATGGAGGCTTTCGGTACTTAAAGCTACCCGGAAATATTCTGAAAAACCTTTAATATACTATCATCCTTGATTTACTTATCTCCTACTACTATATAGACAAAAAAAACCAAACTTTTTAACTAAGCACTAATCTATATGCTAGACTTCAGCTACATCAGATGCGAGGGTTAGCGATAGTACTCGGCTGCCCAAACAAAAACGGGTGGTTTCATTCCATGATATTATGGAGCTATTAGCCAACGATGGATAAATATTTGTGATGGAATGGCAGAAATAAAAAAATTTGCGCACAGTACAAACAGTACAATACAAACATAACGACTGGAGTATTTATTTATTATTTATTTAAACACATATATATTGGTACAAAAGGGCACCAGATACATATGCGCCACACAAAATAATGAAAGTAGGAAGAGAAGGGATGAAAAGATAAGGCGGACTGAAATGTACAACCAGAAGACTCTTTCAGTTAGGAAAGTTAGAACCATCCTTTATGTAAAAAGTAAAAGAAGGTTGCAGCAGGATCGCCACTGGCTTTTATTCTGAGCCATATCTGATAACGTCTCTAGCCACTGTGTTGCACCATCTCTCGGACCCCAGCCAGAGTCGTGAAGGATCAACAGAAGCTAGCTCTTTGCAGCTTTCTTTCGTGCCACGACACCATGTCATAAACTGACCTCCTCTCCGCTTTTTCCAACCAGTCCCAGGGTCGGCAAATAATGCACGACGTGGAAGTCTCTGGGACGACATTCGTAAAACATGTCCAAGCCACCGAAGTTGGTGTTTCAAGATGGTGACACCAATTGAATTATCGTCTCTGCGCCCGAACACACGATGCCGAACCTCCGCATTACTAACATGGTGTTGCCACTGGATGTCAGCAATCCTTCGGAGACAACGATGATCGAACACAGGGAGACGTCTAACATCCTCAACTCGGAGAGGCCAGGTTTCACAAACATAGAGCAAAACTGCTCTCACCGATGCGTTGTAGATCCGACCTTTTACAGCCAGACTAACATCACGAAGACTTCAAAGATGGCCCAGATTGGCATAAGCCGCTCTGGCTTTCACTATACGTGCATCAATCTCATCACTCACGCCACCACCAGCACTTATATAGCTACCTAGATACACGAACTTCTCAACTACTTCAATGTGCTCACCATCCAGGGTGAGTACAGGATTAGAATCCTGCCAGTCTTGTAGGAGTACTTTGCACTTGGAGGGTGCAAAGCACATGCCGTACCTGCGGACACTGATTGTCACCACCATTTTTAAAAAGAGCCGGAGGTAAGTCATCTGGGCCAGGTGATTTGTAACGTTTCAAGAGTTGGAGTTCCTTGCGGACTTCCGCCTCGTTTGGTGGATCAGTCGTCACCGGCCATGGGGGGCAGGACAAGCTAGTTGATGTTGCCGGAGCAGCAGGTCAGTTGAACTGCCCTTCGAAAAATTCCGCCCATCGTCCAAGACGTCGAGAGATGTTTGTGATTGGTGTCCCGTCATCCTCGTAGATTGTTCCACTCACACCAGACTTCTTGCTGCCAGTGGCTCGGATGAGTTGGAAGAGCTTCCGGCAGTTACCAGATGCAGCTGCTGCTTCCATCTCATTAGCACGCTCCGACCACCAGGATTCTCGGTCCTTACGCAAGCTTTGTCCGATTCCATTACGTAACAGCCTTCGTTTGTGGTCAAACTCACGGTCACCCGGAGTAGACCGACGGGCTTCCATCAGTTGTAAGGAGCCAGAAGAAACCCAGTGCTTGTAAGCGGGACGTTTCGCGAAGCCGCAAGCGGCTTTACTCGCCATTTTCATGGCGTCGTGAAGATGCAACCAATGCTCATCTATACTTTTCGATGGGATGGTAGCTAGCCTAGAGGCTAGCTCCGCTCGATACTTACTTGCAACAGGAGTTGCAGCCAGTTAACAAACATCGATCCGTTGGTGGTGGTCAATCCTTCGGCCACTGAAAAGTAAGGTGAGATTGGCGCAGACCAGGGCATGATCAGACTCCAGATAGGTACTCCAAAAGGAGCGGCAGTCTTGTACACAACCACGCTAGCGGTAGCTGATCGCGATGTGATCAATCTGAGTCCAGGCTTGGGATGCAGAGGGAGGACGCCAGGTGGCACACCGGCGATGACTGTGCCGGAAGTTAGTGCTGGCCAGAAACAGGTTGTGGTCTGTGCACAGTTGCAGCAAACGGTCCCCGTTATCTGTCCTGCGACCAACAAGTCCCCATCGGCCACCTAGACGACTCTCTTCTGTGCCTAGACGCCCGACCTGTGCATTCAAGTCTCCGGCTAGTACTGCAATATCTGTCGAACGCGCTTTCTGGAGAAGAACTGTTAACTGGTGGTAAAACTCATCCTTGACTGCATCCGGGCTGCAATCTGTCGGGGCATAGGCGGATATGACGAAAAGACACCGTTTCTCACGCCGATTTCTTCTCACTTTGATGGAGCTTTCTAATCTAACAGCACATAACCGACTGTTAATGGGGATCCAATCGATTAGTGCTGCCTCAGCCCTAGCGCTTGGTGCGACACCAACGCGAGCAAGACCAGACGAAGATGCCACAGGGTCCCCGGATAAGCGCACGTGGAACAAGCTTTTCGAGGCGACAGATGGAGAGCGGATTTGTAGTACTTCACTAGAGTCTTGAATACGGGTCTCGGATAGACAGCAAACATCAACATTAAGACCTTCCAAAGACATAGCCAGCCCTATCTGTTGTCTGATATGCATTAGTGTGCGAACGTTGAAGGAAGCCAGCTTGAACGGCGTTCGTGGTTTCAGAAAGACTGCTTCAGTATTCGTTATCGGTGGAAGCATTCACTTTCAACCAGACAGTGACTGGAGATCGTCTAGATAGGACAGATTTTCCACCATGGGCGAGCTGCTGCATAAGTTGAAAAGGTTACACAAATTGGGGATAAAAGGGGGTGAATTAGCGATATGGTAAATAATAATAATAATAATAATGTAAATTGTCTTGCTTATAATATGATCAGGAATAGAATCGTAAATAGAGTTCATCATTTCATTCATTTGTGTGTGGGCTGTGATACTGCCTGGGTGCCCAAACCGAAGCAGGTGGTTTTCTTAGGGGACCACACCCCGAGTCTTTCACCTAGAGGTCTGATCCACAAGGCAGTGGAGCATCGTAAGGAGATGCAGTCCCATGGTAGCCGTTGACCAATGACAGATTCTTCCACCATTCGTTCCATCAGGATACTGGAGCCCATGTGCACCATTGGTTTGGAATCAGGGTTTTCCAACTCCCTTAGGTGGACCCTCCGTGTCCACCAATCCGGTTAAAGCGGCGGACATTCGCTTTTCGTCCTCTCACTTTCGTAAACAACACCCTCACCACGAGAAGGCAGTGAGTAGGACTTCCCTGGCAGAGGCTATATATTCACTGGCCATGTGAGAGCATTTCGAGAGGGAGAGTAGACTCTCCCCACTCTCGGCCGTACCCGGGCATTTGGGGGCTGGAGTGTTTCGACAAACAGATTAACAGGTGCCGGTCAATGTATACAAGTGTCTAATAAAACTCAAAAAACTTCGAACCTACCATCAGCAAAAGTTAGGTTTTTAATTGCAGAAGAAATTATTGATGGCAACTGGGAATGAAGTGCATCTGGCCGGGTAACAGTATGTGCGAGAAGGAAAGCAGCTGCTTCTTGAGTACGCTCATCCTGTCAAAGGTAGAGCTTGGCTAAATCAATTACACGCTCAATTATAAGTTTCTTTCCAAAACTGTCAAGACTTTCTAAGTTGAAAGGGACCATTACTAAGATTGATAACCAAAGGATAAGAACATAGCGCGTCTCCCAGTTCTAGGGACTAGTTTAAGTAACGGAAACATACAAATAGTACCTTTGAATCATTTACATCTTGCTTCACGCGAAGACTTAAAGTCGGTTCAATATCATCAACTGTATGTGGCATCAAACGGATAATGGCCTTGTAACCTCGGGTTTTTGTCATTAGATATAAGATCCTGAACACGAAGTGGAGAACTTCAGGCTCTGAGTGAGAACAGTGCACAACATCTAGGCAAGCTGATATCATTTTTCCAAGGTGAGGGTCAAGCAGATGTGGCTGCTCCTGGTAATAGTTAAATATTTCTACCTATCAACCAAGGAAACGCAAAGTACATACGGACAAGTTTATCCTCTAAGTTTTCTTTCTTGTGAAAATCTGACAGTTCCAAGCTTATGTCTGATATCAACTTCATAACCTGATCATAATGTCTGAACTCAGTAAAGACAAAACACTCCTTAACTTCACACTCATTATCAGAAGTAGCGCAAATGTTTCAAATGGTTTAAATGGTTGAGGACGGAATAGAAGAAGCTTTCGCTTAACGGGCTTCCGTGTCTGGTAGCAGTGGATCACCAATACCTCCAGGCAAGGACCTAGGTATATGAACGATAATAGAGGGGAAAAAAGAATTTGGTAAATCATAATAAAATGTTATCCTTAGTCCTTAAGAATAAGTCAAGTTTTCTCTTAAAGGACTCCTGGGAGGTCGCTTGGACTAGCTCAGTCGGCAGCGAATTCCAGCACTTGACAACTCTAACGGAGTAGAAGTTGTGTCTGCAGTCTGTTCTGCTATGTAGGGTCTCCAATTTCTGGGTGTTACCTCTGAGGTTAGTGTTATGACTAAGCTTAAGAAGTTGTTTAAGGGGATGACCAGAAGTATTAAGGATACTATAAGTCATAAGAAGATCACCTCTAAGACGCCTATACTCTAACGGGTAAAGGTTAAGTGATTTGAGGCGCTCTTCATAAGGTTTGAATTTGAGACCCCGAACTGATTTCGTGGCTCGACGTTGTATACGTTCCAGAGTGACCTTATCCTTTTGGATGGTGGGAGGAAATACTATGTTTCCGTACTCTAAGTGGGGACGAATAAAACTGTTGAAGATTATGTGGAAGGTTCTACCGTCAAACTGGCCAAAAATGCGCTTCAATGTTACCAGTGCAAGGTTTGCTTGAGAGGCGTTTTTGTCACAGTTCGCATACGATTTCAGGTCGTAGGGTACCAACACTCCTAAATCTTTTTCAACTTGGGAAACTTCTAGAGGTGAGTTACCTAAGTTATAACTATAGTCTGCAACATGTCTCAGATGGACTGCCTTGCACTTTGAAGTGTTGAAGGTAAGTCCGTTGTCGTCTGCCCAACTTTGAAGTCGAGTCAGATCCTCCTGCAGAACTAGTATATCATTGTGAGTACGTATCTCTCTCCAAAGTTTCACATCATCAGCAAAAAGCAATAAATCAGATGAAACTTGTTGAGGAAGATCGTTAATATAAATCAAGAAGAGAAGAGGTCCTAGTATTGAACCCTGGGGGACCCCACTAGGACATTCCATAGCCTGAGAGAGAGTGAAGTTAACCCTGACCATAAAATGTCGGTTTTCTAGGTATGAAGTGATCCAGTCAATTAAAGGGGGTTTTATACCCAATCGTCCAAGCTTCTTGATAAGACATGCATGGTTGACCCTATCAAAAGCTTTTGAGAAGTCCAGGTAAATGACGTCAACCTTCCCCTTGCGATCAAGGATGGTTGTCCATTTATCCACCGCAGTCAGCAGGTTGGTCGTACAAGAATGACCTTTTCTGAAACCATGCTGTTGAGGCGAGAAGAACTTTGAGGATGATAAGTGTTCTAGTATGCCGTCGAATACTAGGGATTCCATAATTTTTGAAGGTATGGAGAGAAGGGCCACTGGTCGGTAGCTTGAGGGTTAATTGCGTGGACCTCCTTTGAAAATTGATGTGATGTGAGCCAGCTTCCATATTTCCGGTAGTTTGCTTCTGCTTAGCGAGTGTGCAAACATCACGCTAAGTTGTGTCGCCAGGATTGAAGCTGCTTCCCTCAATACGGCGGAATGAACCATGTCCGGACCAGGAGAAGTGTCTTTTTTTAGGTTCTGCAGTTTACGGAGCACCAAGTCAGCACTCAGGTCCACTTCGGAAAGTCCTGTACAGGTGCAGGTGAAGCTTTCGTCAGTATGGTTGATGTGGGTCAGTTGGAATGTCCGGGAGTAATGTTCAGCCAAAAGGTTAGCGGCATCACTGTCGTTGTTGGTCGGGCCATTAGGACCAAGCAGTTGGGAAACTCCAGTTTTGCCTTGTCGAAGAGAAGCTGCATAACTGAACAAGCTTTTCGGATTGGAGACGAATCTATCGATAAGCTTGGTCTGGAACTGAAGCCTGTCTTCTCTTATTGCCTTTGTGCATATATTCCTTATATGTTTGTATTGCCTGTACGCGCCGTTGTTATCCGTTCGTTTATATTCAGCCCAACAGTGCCTTTTGCGGCTTAGCAAACGACGAGTGCGGTTCTTGATGATTGCAGGTTGCTTGTAGCTTTTTGGGACCATTTTAGGAACTGAATGCTCAGTAGCACATAAGATCGTGTGCAGTAAAAAATCCCAATGAGCATCCACTTCAATTTCAGGGCGAACATTCCAATCCACCTGTTGAAGATAGTTCTGTAAAGCTAACACATTCAACCGTTTGAAGTTCCAGCGCTTGTTGCTAGCAGGATATCGTAGCTCCGTCTTGCTGACAAAGCTGAATGATAAGACGGCGTGATCACTTTTGCCCAGGGGAGCCAGGACTGAGAGGTCGTCAACTAGGAATTCTTCGTTTGTGAATACCCAGTCTAAGCGTGACGGCGTCTGACTGTTTCTTCAACGGGTTGCCGACTTCACATTTTCAAATAATCCCAGGTCGCCGATAAGGTTGAAGAACAGAGCTTCAGTAGAGTTGGCACCACCAATGTATGTATGTTCCACGAAGTTGATTCTAGGGAGATTGAAATCCCCTAGAATCAGGATATGAGAGAATCCAAGACGCGTAGAGCGAGTTAATCCTTCCAGCAGACGTTTGTCATATTCGATGTCGGCAGTGGGCTTCCTGTAAACGACCCCAACTAGGCACCTGGAGGTGGTAGATAATCTTACTGAGCACCATACTGACTCGTCAAGATTGTGAAACTCTTGATTGTGAAGTTGGTGCGCATCCAGGCATGACCGTACGTATAGTGCTACCCCACCCCCCATTCCTGTTTTTCTGTCGTTGCGAAATAAAGACATCCCAGTTATTGCTAACTCTTGGTCCGTAAACTGAGACGTTATCCAAGTTTCGGATATTCCTATCAGATGGGCATCATTAGCGTTGCTAAGTTCACGTAGCTCATCCATTTTGTTTGGCAAGCTCGCGGCGTTCGTGTATAGGCAGTTTATGCTTTCAATTTGGAACGCGTGAGCCTCTTCTTGTTTGTCTATATGAGCCGTGTGTGAGTGGACAGGTAGCCTACCTATACGATGTTTACCGAGTTGGTAGTCCCTGTCCTTTACACGTTTTTTTTATGATCAAGACAGTCCACGAGTGGAATTGTCAGCTCCAGCTTTCGTTTGTGCTTGATCCTGCTGTCGTGGGGCCTATCCGGATGCATATGGATGCCAGTTGGCAACCGACGTCTATTGGCACGAAATGCTTCCAGAGTTGCAGCCGCCATGTGGGAGGAGGGGAAGGTTATCTTCAGCAGCCGGGGCCTAGAGTCTCCGTCTCTCTTGGCTAGTCGCATTACCTGTTGGGTCAATATGTTCTTGAGTTTTAAGGAATGCTTGATGAATTTCCATTCCCGAATATCAGAGTTTGCTTGAGCTGGGTCCATATTTTCCGGCACACCTTGCACGGTAGGATTAAACTATACTGCCGAGCCAATCAGAAGCTTTCGCGGGTTTTCAAGGTCACGGCGCTAAGTTCGATAACTGATGCTTACGTACGGTCGGTTTACAGCGGATTTTAGGGAAGACGTGATAATTTAGCGTCTACAATAGAAGCGATCATAAGATTTTGGCGCGAAATTCAATTATCCATTTGGATAAATAGAGTTTTGGCATTATAGCTAATGTCAGTTCGTGATGAAAACCCTAAGTATAATCCCTAGCCTTAATCATGAACTGTAAATCATAACTTGAATTCTTCACACAGGTTTATAACCCTCATTTGGTCCTAGTTATTATGTTGACACTCTCAGAGTCACTCTAGCGTCGCTCAAAGATTGTCCATAACTTATAGTCTCACCCATAACCCTACACCTAAATCTTAACCCTAACCCGTAAACCATACCAATATACTAACATTATTGAAGCTATGTGGTCGGGGCTAAAAGAATTTTTGAGACCTTATCATGGTTTCAGAGGTCGACTACTATGGAGCCATATGGATGTGTTCCTGTACCGTATGCACTAAGATTTTAAAACTTCTGAACCTATATCTGACCTTGAGAAGTTTTTGACCCATGTAAAAGAAGTGTTTCCACTTTAATTCTTTGGTTTTGTATAATATATTTTTACTGTATACTAACTGTCTTCTGATTGGCTAATATTTCTCAAGGTCATTTAAAATTCGTTCAAAGGTCGGCAGTATAGTTTAATGTTACCCCTTGCACAATTATATTTCGTCCACGGAAGAACGCCTCGCGAGATTCCTTAGGGATGTTCCGGATGAGATTTCGTTCAGAATACGGTATGTCGGGCAGTATTCTTACGTTCCCATCGGACCTCAGTAAGTGACTGGCTAGCAGGACGTCCTCTACGTCGGAGGCATTCTTAAGTGTAACACGAAGCAGCCTCGGGTGGTTTAGGTGGTTAGAGTCCTTCCCCCGAGTGAGCCGTGTGACGGTCAAAGGCTCTATTCTAGGGAGTTCAAGCCTCTTGATTAATTCTCCCCAGAGCATCCTGTCGTTTTTGTCCTGCAAACTGAGAGGAAGGTCGGGGTCGTCAATAAGGTTCATGATTATGACAGAGTCGTCACGAACCGCAATTGATTTCCCAGGTTTTCCAGGGCGTCTAGGTTTGGTATCTTGTTGTTTGGATGTCGAGGCGCGTTTTCGATTCCTGGGCTCAGTGATGACCGGGCGGACA